TAGAGCTTCATGTAGTTAAAGTACTCAAGTACTGTCAGCCTCATGTAGTTGAAGTACTCAAGTACTGTCAGCTTCATGTAGTTAGAGTACTCAAGTACTGTCAGCTTCATGTAGTTAGAGTACTCAAGTACTGTCAGCCTCATGTAGTTAGAGTACTCAAGTACTGTCAGTCTCATGTTGTTGAAGTACTCAAGTACTGTCAGCCTCATGTAGTTGAAGTACTCAAGTACTGTCAGCCACATGTAGTTGAAGTACTCAAGTAATGTCAGCCACATGTAGTTGAAGTATTCAAGTACTGTCAGCCTCATGTAGTTAGAGTACTCAAGTGCTGTCAGCCTCATGTAGTTAGAATACTCAAGTAATGTCAGCCTCATGTAGTTGAAGTACTCAAGTAATGTCAGCCACATGTAGTTAGAGTACTCAAGTACTGTCAGCCTCATGTAGTTAGAGCACTCAAGTACTGTCAGCCTCATGTAGTTGAAGTACTCAAGTACTGTCAGCCTCGTGTAGTTGAAGTACTCAAGTAATGTCAGCCACATGTAGTTAAAGTACTCAAGTACTGTGAGCTTCATGTTTCAGTGCCAACAGTATAGAAGTAATCTGTAACTCTGGTGTTGGTACTTTTGCTGCAGTACGAACTCCTCGTCTGTTAGCTAAAGGCAGACCGGTACACCGTGCTAGCTGTTAGCCGTTAGCAGACGGTCTCGGTTCTGGTCGTGACTCACCGAAGCGGGTCCAGTCCAGGTCGGACAGTCCGTCCATGACCCGACAGAACTCCCAGAGGACGGAGGACGGCAGGTTGTAGAGAAACTGTCCCTTCAGGTCTCCTGTCGACATGTTTCTAATGGAAACTAAACGGTGGCTGACTCTGAAGCTAACAGGCTAACAGCTAACGGAGGGGACACCATTCACACCGGGACCCGGATCAGTCCGTCACACAACAGAACCGGAACAAACAAGATAAAAACTTTAAAAACTTTAGAATCTCAGAAGTTCAGCTGCTCCGCTGCTTCCGCCCTCTGCGTGTCCAAGCTCACTGCAATAAGAGTTGATGCCGGTTCCTCCGCCTCCAAAATAAAAGCTTCTATGTCGAAAACAACGTGACCGTATTTATTTTTTCTGTTTAAGATTTTTTTTTTATTTATTCCAAATAATTTTATTTCATTTAAGTTGGACATTACTTTTATTTGATTGTATTTGACAAATGAGATAAAAAGAAACAATAATAAAAAATGAAATAAACTAATATTATATTTTATATTGGTAGATATTTTCTCCGATCGCTTGTACATGACTGTACACAAAACACATTTATGGTGTTTTGTAATGGATAAAATTCTGACTTCATCTATTTCTACGTTTTATATGTTTAAGTTCAGCTTCTGTGACTTTTATTACTTTTTCAACAGGAAGTCCTGAGTGAAGACTTTCTCTGCGCTCTGACTGAGATTTTTAATTTCCCTGTTTGAACTACGGCAAGCGTAAAGTTCCCACTGTAATCTGACGTCATGATCACTCACACATACAGCTCAGCTTTGCTTCCTCTTATCACACTGGTATTTTTGACTTTGTGGGTTGTGCCTGAATGCACATCTGTAATACTGAGAGATGTTACTTAATTTTCTTTTTCTGTGTGTGTGTGTGTGTGTGTGTGTGTGTGTGTATGAACATGTACAGTGAAACTTGAAAAAAAAAAGTTTAAATATGTAAAAACGAATATTTTAAATTAAGCTTGAATAAAAGTTGAAACATTCAGAATGAAATGTTGAATTTATGGAATAATCATGAATATGGAATAAAGGTTTAATATATGGAATGCACCTTAAATATGTGAAATAAAAACTGAATATATAGAATGAATGTTTGAATTTATGGAACCAACCATGAAAAAATTAAAATAAAAGTTTTTATATATGGAATGAACCTTGAATATGTGAAATAAAAATTGAATATATATCATGAATGTTTTCATATATGGAATGAAAATATGAGTATATAGACTGAGCTCTCAATATTTGGAATAAGACCTGAGTATATGAAATAAATCATGAATACACATAATCAAAGCTGCAAAATATAGAATGAAAGTTTAAATAACTAGAATCCATCCATCCATCCATCCATCCATTTTCATCCACTTATCAGGGACCAGGTCGCGGGGGCAGCAGGTCAAGCAAAGCACCCCAGACGTTCCTCTCCCCAGCAACACTTTCCAGCTCCTCCTGTTGGACCCCAAGGTGTTCCCAGGCCAGATGAGATATATAATCCCTCCAGCATGTTCTGGGTCTGCCCCGGGGCCTCCTACCAGTGGGACGTGCCCCGAAAACCTCCAGCAGGAGGCGCCCAGGAGGATCCTGATCAGATGCCCAAGCCACCTCAACTGACCCCTTTCAACACGAAGGAGCAGCGGCTCTACTCCGAGCTCCCTCTGGATGTCCGAGCTCCTCACCCTATCTCTAAGGCTGAGCCCAGACACCCCACAAAGGAAACTCATTTTCCTCGCGACCTCCGCCAGGGATATTGGCGAGAGTTCCCCCGAGTCTTCAGGCTCTGCCTTGTTCTCAGTGGACATGACGGCCAGGTTCAGGAGGTTCTCAAAGTGCTCCTTCCACCGCCCGACGATGTCCCCAGTTCGGGTCAGCAGTTTTCCCTCTCTGCTGAGCACAGCCTGAGATAAGCCCTGCTTTCCCATCCTGAGTCGGTTAACGGTCTGCCAGAACTTCCTTGAGGCCAACCAAAAGTCCTTCTCCATAGCCTCCCCGAACTCCTCCCACACCCGGGTTTTTGCGTCAGCGACCGCCACAGCTGCAGCCCTTCTGGCCAACTGATACCTGCCTGCTTCTTCAGGAGACCCCTGGGCCTTCAGCTTGACGGCCTCCCTCACCGCCGGTGTCCACCAACGGGTTCTTTGGTTGCCGCCCCGACAGGCACTGACAACCTTTTACCACAGCTCCTAGCAGCCGCCTCCACAATGGAGGCTTTGAACATGGCCCACTCAGACTTCATGTCCCCAACCTCCCCCAGGATGCACAAGAAACACAGGGTTTCTCTGCCAGACGTTCCGAGTTCACCCTCACTACACGTTTGGGTTTACCAGGTCTGTCCGGCAGCCTCCCCCGCCATCTGATCCAACTCACCACCAGGTGGTGATCAGTTGACAGCTCTGCTCCTCTCTTCACCCGAGTGTCCAAGACACACGGCTGCAGATCTGCTGATACGACCACAAAGTCAATCATTGATCTTAGGCCTAGGGTGTTCTGGTACCAGGTACACATGAAACTCCCTGTGTTCGAACATGGTGTACATTATGGCCAGTCCATAGCTCACACAGATGTCCAAAAACAAAGCACCACTCGGGTTCAGATCAGGCAGGAAATAGAATGAACTTTGAATATATGGAATACAACTTTAATATATCAAATAAAACGAATTTAATATATAGAATGAAAGTTGAAATATACAGAAGGAAAGTCTGAATTTATGGAATCAGCCATGAATACATGGAATAAAAATTTTAATAGATGGAATGAACCTTAAATCAATGAAACAAAATTGAATATATATAATGAATGTTTTAATATATGTCATGAGAGTTTGAATATATAGACTGGCCATTCAATATATGTAATAAAACTTAAATATATTAAACTTTAATACATAAAATTAAAGTTTAAAAATATAGAATGAACTTTAAATTTATGAAAGAAAACGTGAATATATAAAATGAAAAGTTTGAATATATAGAATGAAAACTTGAATATAGTGAATAACACTTTAATACATTAAATAAAACCTGAATATATAGAATAAAAGTTTAAATAAATAGAATGAACTTTGAATATATGGAATGAAACTTGAATATACAGAATGAAAGTTTTGAAATATAGGATTTACCTTAAATATATGGAATAAAATTCAAATATATTACTAAAACTTAAATATATTAAATAAAACTTGAATATAGAAAATGAATGATTTAATAAATAGCATAAAACTTGAATATATGAAATAAAACTTGAACACATAGAATGATATTTTGAATATATGGAATGAAAGTCTGAATATATAGAATTACCTTTCAATATATGAAATATGACTTAAATATACAGAATGAGAGTTTGATAAACAGGTTAAAACTTGAATATATTAAATAAAGCTTGAATATATAGTATGAAAGCCTGAATATCTAGAATGAACCTTGAATATATGGAATAAAACTTGATTAAATAAAAGATACACCTTGAATATAAATTAAAGTTTAATATATAGAATGATAGTTTGAATACATGGATGAACCTCAGCTATATGGAATAAAACTTAAAATAGAATTAAAGTTTGAATATATAGAATGAACCTTAAAAACTTGGAATAGAACTTAATGGAAGCTTGAATATATGGAACGACAGAAAATACTGATTAAAAATATTGAACAAAATGTATAAATACTGAATGAAATCTGACGTTGTCATGGAGCTGGCACCATCTTGGGTTTTCAATGTGATTTATATGTAAGGCTGTGAGACACTATGAGCCCGTCAACACAAAATCTAGTATCAGCATGTGCGTGCAAAATGATACAGGCAACCATATTCAGTACTGTTGTACCGATACAGTGAACCTCACAGGCCACAACAGTCCCTGTCTACCATCTTCATATGGACCATCCATCATACATTAATATGATGCAGTGTGGAAATAAAACAGGTGTTGATAAATTACTTATGTTCACAGTTACATGTGATGAAATATTAATAATAATAATGTGACAGAAACATTTTGCTGCATCAGACAGTTCTTTAACTTCAAACACATGTGACTGAAAACACTAAACTTCCTGTGTGTAAATATATTTATGATGGGTTGACTTCTCCTACACCCCTCAAACTACATCATCACCAACATCATGACACCTCCTACTACCATGATGACGCAACACCCCCCCTCCGTCCCTCCTCCACCTTCATCCCTCCTCCTCCTCCTCCTCCTCCTCTTCATCCTCCTCCCCCCTCCTCCCTCCATCTCCTCTCTCTGCTCTCGTCAGGCGGCAGGATGGACGTCGTAAATCAGGTACATAGCTCCACATTATATTTTATAATTCTGCTTCATGTTTTCCTCTCATCTTCATCTTCATCTCATGTCTCGTGCTCGGTGCTCGGGGTGTGTTCGTGTCGTGTCTCGGGGCGACCCGCCGGGGATTGGTGTTTGTGTTTGTCTCCCGGTGAAGCATCTCAGTGTCGGGCCGTATCACGGCGGCTGCTCGGAGACATTACTCATATTATTAATCACGATTAATAATAATTCATAAATCATCAACGGAGAATCAGAAGAAATATCGTCAGACATCTGGATGATTTTTGTTTATTAATTATTATTCAAAGGGGAAAATTTGTGTTTCTGTCGTCATCGATCAGAAATATCTGATGATTACAGATGATTCAAGGTAATAGTCAGATTATTATGGGATGCTCGGATGATGCTGGATGCGGGAGGTTTTATAAGGAGGGGCAGGCCGCTGTGCGGGGCTTTCAGCCCTGCGTGCTGTCTGCAGGAGAACAGAAATAAAAACACAAACTGTCGAAACGTCTCAGCTCCATGTCGCGTGATGACACGATATTCACAGTGGTGTGTGTGTGTGTGTGTGTGTGTGTGTGTGTGCGCGCGCGCGTGAGAAATGACAGCCGGAGGAGGAGGAGGAGGAGGGGTTCCTCTGCTGATGCTGATGTTGATTTCGTTGCGGTGTAACTGAAAGATTAGGGACTGTTCTTTACTTATCAGAGGAGGGGCGTGGCACCCCCCCCCCCCCGAGTGACTGGAGGAAAATCCATGCTCCTCCCTGCACCATAAATGAAAGTTAAAAGTTGAAGATGAAATCCTGGAGTTGAAAAAAGTCTCAGTTTTTCACTCTGATCTTTTAAACGGTTTGTTTTTGGCCAAATTTTAAATGAGATGCAGAATAAAGTGATGTCATGTTTTCTTTAAAAAATAAATAAACAAATACAAAAACACAACCATTTGAATTTGTACGTCCCTCCCCTAAACCACAATAAAAACTATTCAAGAAAAAATAATGCCCCAAAATTTAAAAAGCCAAATTTTCTTTAAACAAACAAAAAAAAGCCAAATACATGAAAAGAGAAAAAAAAACAGAGAAAAAAAATTGCCAGTGGAGTTGAAAAAAGACTCAGTTTTCACTCTTGTCCTGCAAACGGTTTATTTTTGGACAGATTTGAAATGAGACGTAGAATAAAGTGATTTAGATGAAATATCACAGTTTTAAGATCAGATGCGTTTATGGGTTTTTTTGTCCAGAAACGTTTGTCACACAATGTGTCCAAGGACCGTCGGTAAATTTGAAAATCCAACTATAATTTCTGTTTTTACAACTCATGGCTGTGAGAAATGGAATACTTTTTGGGCTGGGGGTGCTGGAGTGCGACTTTTTATTTTTACCCTCCCTGAAGCTACAAATATTTTTCCTTGAGCCTCCTATTTTAAGCTCAGATTTGGTTGGTTTTTATCTGAGGGAAGTGTTCGACACACGATGTGTGCATCCTGTGTCAAACGTAAGCACCATGTGTCAAGTGTTAGCATCCTGTGCCGACCCTTAGCAAACCTTGTCAAGCATTAGCATTCCGTGCCAACCATTGCACCCCATGTTGAGCATTAACATCCTGTGCCATGTGTTATTATCCCGTCCCGATCCTTAGCAACCCGTGCCAAGAGTTAGCATGCTGTGTCGAGCATTAGCATCCTGTGCCATGTGTTAGCACCCTGTGCCGTGTGTTAGCATCCTGTGCCGTGTGTTAGCATCTTGTGTCGACTGTAGTATTCCATGTTGACCGTTAGCATCCCTTGCTGAAAGTTAATTAATTTAATTAAGTAACTTGTAACAAAACAGGAGTTGTTAATGCATCCCAAAATTTAACTTGTGTTTTTTTATTCTCTGCTGCTCTCTAACAGCTTCACTGTCACGTGTGGAAAATAGTTTTACATTGTTTTTATCTGTGCTTTTATTGTATGAGAACTATATCTGAATATCACACACTTTGTGACAGAATCAGTGACATCTATTAAATTTCTTATCAAAACGTATTTCTAAATGAATGCTTGCAAACAGTCTTATTTCTATTTTTAATGTACTATTTGAATTTGTATGTATCTTATCTATTATCATTGTTGTTGATTTCATCTGCTATTGTTATTGTATTTCATTTTATTTTTGTATTATTTTTAACAGTCTGGTTTTATTTGTGTGGCGTAAAGCATTTTCTAACTTTGATTTCAAAGTGTTGTATAAATAAAGTTATATATTATCCTCTGGCTCTCATCAGAGCTGGTTGGACAGAAGCTGAGTGATTTGATGAATATATAAAAATAAACGCCATCTGTTCTGGTTGTGTGCAGCTGGTGGCCCAGGGTCAGTTCAGGGTGCTGAAGGTTCCTCTGGGCTTCATTAAGGCCTTACAATGGGTGAGTCTATCACACTAACACCACTGATGACATCAGCATCTATGGAAGTCATAAATAAGAATACTAATACAAATGAAATAAGCTGGGGGTGTTAGTGGTCATCTGGATGAACATCTTCTACATTAGTCCAAATTCTAATAATCAGAATAATGTTTCTAGATTATTTTATAAATGTTTACAAAAAGTTTCAATATTTTCTCAGAACATCACAAAGATGCTGCAGATATGTCCTGAAAGAATTTAAGAAGTTCCCAAAATGTTCCCAAAACTTTGTGAAAATGTTTCAGTACAACAGAAATCTGGCTGAGTTCACAGCAACGACACAAAAATCAGATCCTGCTTAAGTGCAACACACACACACACACACACACACACACACACACAGCCAAGCAGGGATGATGATTATGATGATGATGGTGATGATGATGATGGTGATGAAAGTGATGAATTGTGAGCTGTAATAGCCCACGATAGTGCACGAGCTACAAGCTACCTGGCTCGTGCCAGCTAAGTGGGTATTGTTAGCTCGTGAGCTAACGTTACCGGCTAGCATCCTATTCGTTTCTTTTTGTGCCATCTTTGCGGTTCTTCTTCTTCTTCTCCTCTGGTAAAAGACGACCGCATTGCATTGTGGTGTACGGGAGTAAAATGTAGGGAACATCGTTTGTTCACTCACATTTGCTGTGCATTGTGGGTATTTTATAGTCCACTATATAGTGAATGAAATTAACCGCGGAGAATTCGAACAACACTACAAAATGGCGAACACACTATATAGTGCACTATATCCGTGATAGGGAGCGATTTCGAACACAGCTACTGTATGAACACTGAACACTTTCCCAGAATGCAACAGGTCCCAGCAGGCTGTAAAACGTCTCTGATGACATCAAACTGAAAACACTAAACACAGGTTGTTTCGTCATGGTGACCAGCACATCTGGGTGATGATGACCAGTGTGTGTTAGCATGTCTAACATCAACGCGCCATCTTCGTCTTATACACAACTCTCTCTGTTGTAGCTGAGCGGGAATCTGTGGGCGGGGCTTCAAGTTTCGACTTTTTATTTGTGCTCGCCATTGTCTGACTGACTCGCAGTCAGTCACCTTGTTGCGCTAACCTTAGCATGTGTTGCTAACGGCGTACTGCTAAAAGTTTTAGGGAAAAATGTCTCTGTTTTTCTCTCTCGTGCATTTTAAATTTCTTGTGTTTTTGTTTTTTTATCTGATGTTTGTCACACATGATGAGTCCAAGGACCGTCGGAAATTTGAAAATCTAACAATTATTTCTGTTTTTAAAGTTTCTGGCTAATAAATGAAAGAAAGCATTCATGTCAAACCCACCAGCATGTTTTCTTAAAAATCATCGGTAAAATAAACACAAACCCCTCCCCAGTGCTTAAAAACTTATTTGACACTCCTCCCCCTTTTTGCAAGTAATGAACTCTCCCTTACAGCTGCCAAACCTTAGCATATTAGCACTGTTAGCATGTTAGCATGCTGGTGTTAGCATTTATCTCAGCACACTGCAGTGTTTCACTGTTAGCATGACTGCTGTTTAATGTGTTTTCACCTTCAAAATCTCTGTGTTAACTTCTTCTCTCCTCCTCCTCCTCCTCCTCCTCCTCCAGTTCTTCGCCATCTTTGCCTTCTCCACCTGTGGTAGTTATTCTGGGATGTTCAAGATGGCGGTGGATTGTAAGAACCGGACATACAGCGACCTGAGAATAGAGGTGGAGTTTGAGTATCCGTTCAGGTCAGTACAACATGATGTCAGCTGTGTTTGATGAGTCACAGGACTGATTCCGACCGTACGGTGTGAACAGGCAGAGATGGAGGCAAACACAAGATGAGACGAAAATGACTCAGTGAATAAAGAGCACAGTGACAGTGAAGGTAACACAGGAGAGAAACTTTAAATATGTAGAAGTTTATTTGTATTATTTAATAGAGAAAACATCTTTAGCTACGGCTGATCATTTAGAGTTTGGTGATGAAGACAAAAAAAGGATTAAAACAGACTCGTATGAGAGCTGAAGACTGGAGCTGGATGATCGTCATGGTGAAATGTTTATAGTTGCTATGAGATGCAGAGAGCAGAAGAGCTGCTGCTGCTGCTATGAGGGGTCATTAATTAGATCAGGCCAAGGGCCAGAATTTTTCTAAGCAGACACTGTGGGGACCGAACTCCTGTATGTGGGCACCTGATTATGTTTTAAAGTTTGAAAGATACATAATCAAAGAGGGTCTGAGGCAGGGTCGCCACGTTAATGTGTAAAAATAAGGGACACTTTCTCTGCATCCCCATGCCTGGGGACACAAATCAAGAGGGGTCTGGGCGTCCTCCCAGAGGGGAAATAAAAGAGTCAACTATTGTAAAATGTGCATCAGTCATATTGAGGGTAATAAAAATGTCAGATCAAAGACGTGAGCAAAATGTTTGGTCTGTCACAATAAAGTATTTGGTATATTTGAAAGCAGAAAGATGGGCGAGGGATCAGCAGGAATCCTGAAGTTAAACTTTTTAAGACCTTTTTCAAGAAATTTTTCACAGCCTACATTTTAAGATATTCTGATGAGTTGCCACTTTGAGATCTAACAGGTTACACCAGAGGCATATTTTAATTTACATTTACTATAGATATCACGACTAAACAGTGTGAAGAGTAGTTCCTGATAACGCCTTGGACCACTGTGTCCATGCAACTTGATTCAGACAGACAGGTGGGAATAACTGGGTGAGGTGGAAGTCAAGTATACACTGAGAGATTTAGAGCTAAACCTTGTTTGTAGGTCGAGGCTAATATTAGTGATCATATTATATTAATTGTAGGCACATTTGTAAGCTTAATAAGACTTAGCCTAATTAATTAATTAGTTAGCCTATGCTGATGAATTTTATTAGCATGCTTTTAAATTAGCTCACATTTGAGCCATTTTTTTTAAACATGAATTGTGCAGCAGTTTGTAAAGTCTGTTTTAATATTGACAGAGTGACAGAGAGGTGAACTACTGAACACAGCATCTTCACAGATTATTAATATCTTAGTGAGGATGTTGTTTTTTTACTTTATGACATTTTGGTATTTTCCTCATGAGATTACTGAATCTGATGCATCATTACCTCTAATAATAAGCTGACAGATGGATTTATAACTCACAGGTCAAACTTATATATTTGGGGATGGTAAATCATTTCTAATAAAATCGCTTCCAGTTCTGTTGCTAAGAAAAAAGAAAAAAAGAGATATCCTAAATCCTCCCAGTTGATAACCTAAATAAAGAACAGTTAATCCTCCTCACACTCTCTGAATGAATTAATATTCTGTGGGCCAGTTGGAAAGCTTTGGCGGGCCAGATGTGGCCTGCGGGCCGCCAGTTGACGATCACTGGTCAAGATAATTTCAGGTTTGCGTTTGTGAGAAGAACTTTCATGCTGTCAGAGACCACAATCTGAACTTCCTCTCTCTCTGTCTCAGACTCCACCAGGTGTATTTTGACGCCCCCACCTGTAAGGACGCAGACAAAGAGCGTGTTTTCCTTGTTGGCGACTACTCCTCCTCGGCCGAGTTCTTTGTCACCATCGGCGTCTTCGCCTTCCTCTACTCCACGGCGGCTCTCAGTATCTACATCTTCTTCTTCGACAAGTACAAGGAGAACAACAAGGGCCCACTGATCGTAAGTTTACCCACCTGATGCCATCTCTGACAGGTGACCTGACTAGTGACCTCATACACTGTGTGTGTGTGTGTGTGTGTGTTCGTTCAGGACCTGGGTGTGACCGCGGTGTTTGCCTTCATGTGGCTGGTGAGTTCAGCGGCTTGGGCCAAAGGTCTGTCTGACGTGAAGACGGCGACTGACCCAGATGAAGTGATCACTATGATTGCCGCCTGCAAATCTGAAGGGAACCAATGTCGTGAAGTCCACGACCCGGTCATGTCTGGACTCAACACCTCCGTGGTAAGACCATCGCTGAGCCTGACGCCTCTGAGGGTCAGGGCTGTCCGACCTGTGGTGAGGTCATCAGGCAGACGACCCTCTCAGGAGGGGATCGTTTAAAGTTTTGGCGATACCCGAGTCAGAGAACTGACTAAAAATCTCTGTGCTACAGACACATTTTAGTCGCTACCAAAATAAAGGGTTTGTTTCCTTCATCCTCTCCTCCCCTCCTCCTCCTCCAGGCCTTCGGCTTCATTAACCTAGTCCTGTGGGTGGGGAACCTCTGGTTCGTCTTTAAGGAGACGGGCATCATCGCTCCCTTCATGCGAGCTCCGCCTCCTCAGGAGAAACCTGCTGCACCAGATGCTTATGGCCAGCAGGGGGCGTATGAACAAGACCCGTATGCCAGCAACCAGGGAGGCTACCAACCCGAGTACAGCCAGCAGGGATACAACCAGGTGAGGAGCCCGGCCGCTAACTAACACTCACAGTGTGAACCAGGTGACTCAGAGCACACCTGGAGAATGAATCAATACATCCTGTAGTTAAAACAGTCCAGTTAATTCATTTGGTCCTGCTAATACAGTCTGAACCTCCAAACCCTTCAGAACCAGCTGCATTGTCATTTAACTCAATACACACAACCACACACTGCAAACACACAGTCTGTGTAGCAGGTTAAAAAAAAAAAAAAAGCCTCTCTGCTCTGCCTATGTGACGCTTCTCTGCCGTGCCCCATGGATCGCAGCCGTTACACCTAGCTTTAGCTTTAGCTTAGCACATAGACAACAGCTCACTGGGGAGAACCGTCAGACAGAGCCAAGAACATCTCAGATCAACAGAACACGTTTAAAGTGTCTGAGAAGGATTCACGTTTTTCATATGAATCTACTTCATGTCACTTCCTGTTAGCAAAATAAAAGTTTTACAGTAAACTGTGTAGTACTGGTACTGTACTACACAGTGAAACAGTATATAATGATGCTTTATACTCAACATACTGCTAGACTGCTGTACGTTCACTCAGTGCACTGCACTATATTTACTGCAGTACACTGAGTATATGTACTGCAGTAAATATATTAAGCGTACTGCAGTGTTTACACTCAGTGAACTCCAGTGTATATATACACTCAATGAGCTACAGTTTAAATATTTAGTGTACTAGAGTATATATAAAGTATAAATACTCTGTGTGCTGCAGTATATTCCTGTGTGTGTGCATAATGCTGTTGTGTGTTGTGTCTCCTGAAGGATGCAGAGTACGGTCAGGGTTACGGCCAGCAGGGGGCGCCCACCTCCTTCTCCAATCAGATGTGAACTGACAGGAAGCAGGTGAGTCCTGCAGGAAGTGGAGCCTGAGGCCCCTCTCTGATTGGTCCATTAAATTAATTCATATAATAAGTGATGATGTCACATATGTCTTCTTAAAAACACATCAGTGAGACACACATCTTCCTTCATCATCATGAACACACACACACAAACACACACACACTGTAATTTATTTCACACACGGTCCTGCTGACACTGACACTCGCTACAGCACCAGATGTGGATTAATCCACCGGTAAAAATAGTCCCCAACAAAGTCGTTGAATAATCTGGAGGGCCTTAAAGTCATGGTTTGGGTAAAAGTGAATAGATGTCTGTCAGAAAGGGCTTTCTTTGAGAAAGCCTACAAGGAACACTTCTTCATAGACTACAGTCTGACTGATGACACATAAATAATAACTATATTTATAATTACGTTTTTATTTACGGCAGATGTCAAACTATGAGCTGTGTCGTCGTCGTTCTTGCTGACTTTTAATTTCTTTTTGCCACAGTCTTGTTGATGAACTGAACAGAGAAACTTTATTTAAACACCAGAGACTTTACGTGTTTGTCTTTCCTTCACAGAAAACATCGGAGTGAACCAAGAGTGGGTCGCCTGCAACCTACCCACAATGCAACACTCCTGTCTGCCTGTCTGCAGTTAATGGGCGGGGGGTGGGGGGTGAGGGTTAGATGTTAACTATTATGAATTGATGTGTAAATGCTAAAAAAAGAGAGATATAAATAACAAATCTACAACTTGAACAAAGAACCAAAACAACAAGAACAACAACAGCAGCAGTGGCGGCGGCGGCGGTGCTGATGAAACAAGTGACGATGTTGATCAGAGTTCTTCATATTAATCTGTGGACAGAATGTTTGTGTTGTATAGATATCACTCTGAACAGATATATTGGCTGAAAATGTTCTTCATGTTTCTGCCCCGCCCCCTCGTTGTATGCCCCGCCCCCAGGATCAACACATCTGATTCATAGGAAGCCGTTCAGACTGGATTCACACTCAGACCAATCAGAACCAGAACCAGATCAAACTGGATCCAAACCAACTTTCCTGTGTCCGCCGACATCACCTCCCAGCTGTTTGCTGTTTGTCTTGCTGCATGTAAATATCAACACAGGAAGTGATGTCACTCTGAGTGAACCCAGTCTGGACTCCAGCTTCATGGACCAGACAGGCATCCTGTCACTGCCGAGGCCACGCCCCCTTCTGAGGAAAATAAAACCTGCTGTCACATCAGGACAGAAACAGGAAGATGATCTGAATTTATAACTTCAACACTCACTGTCAGCGTGAAGAAATGTCGGGGGTCAGAAGGTTGCAGACAAACATTTATTTTAAAAAATTAATGCACACAAAATGAAAATCCACATATGTCCAATATCACCGATCTCTATCTGGAGGATCATTTTCTATCCAACAGAAGGGGGCGTGGCCTCGACATTCAGAGTGGGTCTGGTCCATAGATGCAGAAACATAGACGCCTTAATGGCCACTACATAGTACGTCAGTGGTGCCGCCATATTGGAGCGGTCAAGACTTCCTGTAAACAAATTCAAGTAAACAGGAGCTGCAGTTTTTCTATAACTGAAATGAACCGATGTTATATCCATGGCTTTATGATCTACGTGTAGTGGAGAAAAAAAGTTTTGTCTCCAGTTAATTAGAATCTTGGGAGTTGGATGACCTCACCAATCAAATGGCTGCATGCTGCATCTGCTTCGACCACCCCTGATAGAAATCTATATCCTGCCTTTATGCTTTAACCCCAAGAAAAAGTAAAATGGTGTAAAACTGGGTCAGAATGAGCAGCAAGTCCAGAAACAAGAACAACTGCAGCAAAACTTGGCAGGATGAAATGGAGAAAGCAAGTTTTAGGCTAACATCACATCATCAGCGAAAAAGCTAATGCTAGCTCAACAGTTTAGCCTGGTCAAGACTTTGCAGATGTAATTCTGACAGACATAAGACACTTCAGGAACAAGGAGAAAGATGGCTGCCAGAGGACGCAGTTAATTAAAATCTTGATATTTGGTGTATCATCACTTCTGGACGCTCAGCAGAGGAGTGTGTGTTAGACTGACATGAACTGAATTATAAACATGGTGGAAAATAATTTATTGTCATGAGGAATTGTAAAATCTCATGTCAAACATGGATTTGGATTATTTTCCTTGCTTAAATACTTGTGGAGATGCCTCCATATATAATTTAATGTGGAAGTAGCCAACTTTTTAGTGCGCTAACTAGCTAACACTGTCTGTTTATTAACTCCTTGACCATAAAATAATACAGTAACTTTAATAACTGCTCATTTTAGAAAGGACACCACAAGAAAACATGTTCTTTGTTTATGTTGTATAATGTCTGGTTATATTGGCTCCTGTCTGCATCCAGACACAGGAACGTGAGAAGCTTGCTAACATAGTGCATTAGCTATGTTAGCGCGCTAGCTATGTTAGCTATAGCTGATCACTGGCAGCCAGAAACAAACATCTGTGATCCATCGTCCAGTTGATAACCTAAATAAAGAACATGTTTTCATGTGGTGTCCTTTCTAAAATGAGCAGTGGTGAAAGTTACTTTATTATGTTGTGATCAAGGAGTTGGTGATAAGCAGACAGTGTTAGCTAGCTAGCTAGCATGGCAGCTAGCTGAGAAGTTGTCTACTTCTACATTAAATTATATTATATGGAAAAGTCTCCATATGTACTAACCAAGGAAAATAAACCAAATTCATGCTTGACAAAAGCAGGATTTTATAATTCCTCACAACAATGAATTATTTTCAGTGGCGTAAAGAAGTTCCAACCGGCCCAGTGCACGCCATTGTGCAAGTATTGTCTTGACAAAAATAGAGACTCAACATTGGGCAACATAAACACACATATTACCCGGCAATCACCACTGCATATCTGACAAAAATAACAAAGAAAGTAAGAAATTAAAACAAAAGGAAAGAGAGAACCATGACAGATGGTTTTGCCTTTTGAGGACATTTATAGCAAACAACACCATTTTTAAATGAATAATATTGTGTTTGTTATCATTTAACTTTGAACACAGGTATATTTCCAAGGTAGTAATCTGAATCACTCACAAGGGCCCGCTCTCTCTACGGGCCCCTCCACCCCAGGGGCCCCAGTGCACTCACACTGCCTGCACTGTCTTTATTTATGCCCCTGATTATTTTACACCATGTAAATAATTCAGTTCCTGTCAGTCTAACACTTTACTGAGCGTCCAGCAGTGATTAGAGACTAAATGTCCAGATTCTTATTAACTGGAGACAAAACCTTTCTTCTACTGCGCATAAATCATAAACCATCAAATATTAAAAACAAGTCATTTCAGTTGGTTGAGAAATATAAACTGCTGAGGAGAGGACGGTCACGTGTGTGTTGTACGAGCTCATTTATCATCGTCATGGTGACAACGACAAACTGCAGCTCCTCTGTTTACTGTCTCTTGTTTATTGTGCTCTCTCCAATATGGCGGTGCCGCTGACGTATCACAGCAACAGGCTGACACAGTCAGTGCGGCGTCTACATATTTATGTCTCTGGTCTGGTCTCTACGGTGACGGCTTCTGGTCATTACAGTCTGTGTGTTTGATTGACGGGCTCAGCTGTGTGTCACATTCCTGCAGCTGCTCTCAGATCAGAGACAAACGTCCGTCTGAAGATTATTTATTATAATTATTAATATTATAATTAGTTGTGGTAATCTGAGCTGAAGCAGACGTCGCTCTCCGGCTGCTGTGTTTATAAAGCATGAATGTGACCATCTGGAGTCTTCGCCACATCCATTTTGTTGCTGGTTGCTTAGCAACTGTGTTCTCCTAAGTTCAGACAGAGTGGTGAAATGCTGCATCGAAGCTGTTGTGTTGTTTACGTGGATTTTAAAAAGAATCTGTGGTTAGCGTAGCATGTTAGCTTCAGACAGATTTAATCACATTTAGGAAAAAATGAATTAAACAAAAATCTCCTGTAGTTTGTGTCAGTACTCGGATACTTTACTGCAGTAAAAGTACTAATACCAGTGTGTAGAAATGATCTGCTACAAGTAAAGTCCTGCATTGAAAATCTTAAGTACAGAAGTATCAGCATCAAAATATAAAGTACCAAAAGAAAAAGTACTCTGCAGAATAATAATATATTATTGTACTAAAATTATTGATGCATTAATGCACTGATCAGTTTGCAGCTGACTTACTATACTGCGGGGTAGTTTTATCTTTAATAATACTTCATCGATTATTGATATATTTTGTATCAATAATCTTAATCAGAGTGCAGTTAGCTCAGGACGGTACTGCAGTGAAGCAGTTGAGTAAATTCTTGTGTTTGAGTTTTAATCTTCAGACAGACGTTTGTGTTTATTTGTCTTCTCCTCGGCTCTCAGCCAATCAGCAGCAGCCGTGAGTCTTTCTGGAAAAAAAAACAAACCTTGATGCTTCTTTGTTTTTTGTTTTTTTGTTTGTTTTGTTTTTTTTAAAGTGAAGCCGTTTATAGCGTCGGTATCTTCCTCCGCATGGTGACGTGTTTCCTGCTCGTGTTGTGCAGTAACTGATGATCAGTGTGATTCTACTTCCTGCTCTCTTGTACAGGTGTGCATGTGTGCGTGTGTGTGTGCGCGCGTGTGTATGTGTGTGTATGTGTGTCATTACCTGTCCATTCTTCATCTTTATTTTTTCTCCTCCATCTTTTCTTTATTCTTTCACTTTTCTTTCTTGACCTCCTGCCCTCTATTTCTTTTCTTTCCTCTCCTTTTTCTCCTCCTCCTCTCCTTTCATCCCCCCCCCCCGTCGTTCTTCTTCGTGACTCTCCCCTCTGCCTCTGTGATGTAACTTCCTGTGTGATGACTATCTATTCAGCATCAGTAACCATGGCGACAGTGTTGACAGTGACGATGATGATGTGTGTGTGACTTGTTGCTATGGAGACGCCCCTCCCCCCTGCTGTGTTTATTCAATGGAAAGTTTCAATAAACTACAAACTCGTCCGAGTCTGTGTCTGTTTGTGAAGAGACGAGTGAGTGAGTGAGTGAATCAATTAATCAATCAATCAATCAATCAATCAATTTTATTTATAAAGCCCAATATCACAAATCACAATTTGCCTCACAGGGCTTTACAGCATACGACATCCCTCTGTCCTTATGACCCTCGCAGCGGATAAGGAAAAACCCCCCAAAAAAACCCCTTTAACGGGGAAAAAAAACGGTAGAAACCTCAGGAAGAGCAACTGAGGAGGGATCCCTCTTCCAGGACGGACAGACGTGCAATAGATGTCGTACAGAACAGATCAGCATAATAAATTAACAGTAATCCATATGACACAATGAGACAGAGAGAGAGAGAGAGAGAGAGAGAGAGAGAGAGAGAGAGAGAGAGATGCAGGTAATGACAGTAGCTTACAACAACATTATTGAAAGTAATAATATTATAGTTATAGTTCTGGCTACTGTGGTACAATATGTTGAAAGTATGTATTAATATCTGGCAGTATACATGTGTGACAATAGTCATATGTGTATAATAACAGTAGAAGTATGACTAATGACTAATGATGGCAGCAGCAGCAGGAGGCATCTGGCAGGACCACGGCAGCAGCACAACCACACACGTCACGCTGTCCAGGCACCGCTGCGATATGAGTTAATCTGAGAGACAGTGGAGCACAAAGGCTCCGGAGAAGAAGCCGAGTTAGTGACATCCAGAATGGCCGAGTTAGCAAGATGCAGTAATAGGATGAGAGTGAGAGAGAGAGAGAGAGAGAGAGAGAGAGAGAGAGAGAGGGAGAGAGAGGGAGCCCGGTGTATTATAGGGGGTCCTCCGGCAGACTAGGCCTAAGTCAGCCTAACTAGGGGCTGGTACAGGGCAAGCCTGAGCCAGCCCTAACTATAAGCTTTATCAAAGAGGAAAGTCTTAAGTCTAGTCTTAAATGTGGAGACGGTGTCTGCCTCCCGGACCGTAACAGGAAGATGATTCCACAGGAGAGGAGCCTGATAGCTGAAGGCTCTGGCTCCTGATCTACTTTTGGAGACTTTAGGGACCACGAGTAACCCTGCGTTCTCAGAGCGCAGTGTTCTGGTGGGATAATATGGCACTATGAGCTCTCTAAGATATGACGGAGCTTGACCATTTAGAGCTTTATAAGTTAACAGTAGGATTTTAAATTCAATTCTGGATTTTACAGGGAGCCAGTGCAGAGAAGCTAAAACAGGAGAAATATGATCTCGTTTCTTAGTTCCTGTTAGTACACGTGCTGCTGCATTCTGAATTAGCTGGAGAGTTTTTAAGGACTTACTAGAGCTACCTGATAATAGAGAGTTACAGTAATCCAGCCTTGAGGTAACAAAAGCGTGGACCAATTTTTCTGCATCTTTTCGGGTCAGGATAGGCCTAATTTTCGCAATATTACGCAGATGAAAAAATGCAGTCCGTGAGGTTTGTTTTAAATGAGAATTAAAAGACAAATCTTGATCAAATATTACTCCGAGGTTTCTTACGGTAGTGCTAGAGGCCAGAGCAATGCCATCTAGAGAAACTATGTCATCAGATAAAGAGTCTCTGAGTTGTTTGGGGCCAAGAACAATAACTTCAGTTTTGTCTGAATTTAACATCAGGAAATTGGTGCTCATCCAGGTTTTTATGTCTTTAAGGCAGTTATAGAGTTTAATTAATTGATTACTTTCTTCTGGCTTCATAGATAAATACAACTGGCTGGAGTTGGAGGAGAGGACCTGCCCACTAACGTCGTGGTTGCTCACTACGACTCCTTTGGTGTTTCTCCATGGCTGTCGTACGGAGCAGACTCAAACAGCAGCGGGGTGTCTATGTTACTAGAGCTGGCTCGTCTTTTCTCAAAACTTTACACCTACAACTAATACAATGACCTCACTGATAAATAAAAACAGGTCATGAGTGAACAATCAAAGCACACAAACCCCTCGACCCTCAGAGAGCACGACCACGCTCCGCCCACCAGTCCACCCTGTGGTTGTATGACTCCGCCCACCAGTCCACCCTGTGGTTGTATGACTCCGCCCACCAGTCCATCCTGTGGTTGTATGACTCCGCCCACCAGTCCAGTGTCTCTGACAGTCTCCATCCATGTCAGTGAAAACATGGATGCTTCACACACAGAAGATCTATACAATCAGCACAGTTTCAAGATTAGAGTCACCAATTCAGTATCTGACCAAATGTCTCCCCTTCTGTTCCTGAGATATGACGTTAAAACATGATGATGTCACAGTCAAGCTGACCTTTGACATTTTGACCTTCATTATTTTATCCTGTTAGAAATCTGGGTCAAGTTTTGTGAGGTCACACTGACCTTGACCTTCAACTACAAAATTCTCATCAGGTTAATCTTCAATTCAAGTGGACGTTTGTACCAAATTTTGAGAAACTCCCTGAAGGTATTCTTGTGATATCATGTTTAGACGAATGAGACAGATGAGGTCACATAGACCTTGAACTTTGACCTTTGACCATCAGAAACTAATGAGTTCATTGATCCACACGGGAAGCATCATCAATGTGTGAAGGCTTTTCTTGCCACATTTGAGCTGCATGTGATCAACCTGTTAGGTCTATGTCAATGAATCATTTCCTGTTGCCAGAAGGTGGCTCTGTAACTATAAATAATTGCTGGCATGTGGATGTGTTCATGTGTTTGGGGCAGACTGGAACATGTAGTTCGGAGTAACAAACCACTTCCTGTTTCATGGCGAAACATGGAAATTTGATACCTCACCAGGGGCAGACTGTGCGACGAAAACTCAGGCTTTTAATAACTTTCTGTGTCGAAGGTCTTTAGATGGTTCAGACAAAATTCGAAGTCAATCAGATTAAATCTGTGGGTGGAGCTGTTTAAGTTCGACCCCTGTAAACGGCCAATGGTTGACTTTTTTTTTTTTGTACATCTTGGGATGTTACATGTGCCCAGCTCAGTCGACCATTTCAGTAGTAGTCTCAATCAGTAATTCAGGTCTCGCTTGTAAAAGAGATTTTCAATCTCAGTGGGACTTCCTGGTTGAATACAAGTTAAATAAATAAATATAATAAAGAGTTAATTTCAGAAATGTTTTTTGTCCTTCTGCTGCAAAGACGTCCGAGACTCTGAAGACGTGTCCTGAAACACTTCTGTAAATATAGGCAGATACATGCAAGAAGAAATGATAGAAAACAAACATGTTGTGTGTGTGTGTGTGTGTGTGTGTGTGGTCATCATTGATCTCTCCTCCTCCTCCCTCCCTCCTTCCTTGTGTCCTTGGCTCCTCCTCCTCTTCTCTCACACTCCTCCCCCATCAGCTCACTTTATACCCCCCCCCCCCCCCCCCCCCCCCCCCCCCCCCCCCCCCCCCCCCCCCCCCCCCCCCCCCCCCCCCCCCCCCACACACACACACACACACACACTTTCTCTCCTCCACACTTACCTCATGTCTTTGGCGCCTCCTCCTCTTATCATTTTCTCTCACACTCCTCCCCCTCCATCTCTATTTTCTCTCCTCTCATCCCCCCTCCCTCCTCCCCTCCCCCCTCTTCCTCCCTGTTATCAGATGAGTCAGTGCGTGTCCGTGTGTGTGTTCAGTCAGTAGCGTGATGGCGTCTCTCAGCCTCCTGCTGCTCAGCACCGCGCTGATCCACACCGCTCAGGTAAGAACAGACACCCGCATCACATACATATGGGGGGGGGGGGGGGGGGCTTCACATGTGTGTCGCATGTTCTCATTTAATGTCGTCACGGTAACCTGATAGTGATGCAGAATAATGTCGCTGCTGTTTACCTGCCTGCCAACGCTGTTACATCACAGTGTGGTTGTGTGTGTGTGTGTGTGTGTGTGTGTGTTGCCTTTACGTCTATTCTCATTTCCATCTGATGGTGTAATATTTGATTTATTGATCAGGTTAATCACTGCAGAGAGAAACAGACTGTGTGTGTGTGTGTGTGTGCGCTTGTGTGTGTGTGTGTGTGTGTGTGTGTGTGTGTATGTGTGTGTGTGTGCGTGTGTGTGTGTGTGGGTGGGCAGTCACTGTGACCAGAGGAACTTTTTTTTTTTCTGTCACCATAGCGACAGGAGACGGTAACCCATGGCAACAGGGCCGTATATTAAACAGGTTACAGCAGCTCTCCTGACATCTGACTGCTGCTGTGTGTGTGTGTGTGTGTGTGTGTGTGTGTGTGTGTGTGTGTGTGTGTGTGTGTGTGGCCTTGTTTATCTATCCTTAGGGGGACCCAGTTCAGTCTGGGACACAGTGAAGACATTTGGGGACACAAAGGCCTGTTTATTTAACTGCAAAAGCGTAAAATTTGTATTTGTTCACATACATCAGTGTGAAGGTTTATGCTCTAAGTGTTGATTTTAACGGCTACAAAAATTTTCAGTGTGTATGTTTGCTGTCATAATTATGGATGCTCTTATTCTGGGTCATACTAACTTTGAATACTGATTTTATAACGTCTTCATGCCTTCGAGTATCTGTTCTTTTGATGTGTGGATCGTAGTTTTATGATGTATTGTTCCAGATTCTACTGTATGTTTGTTATCGACGTGTACTCAACCTTACTTTTCTGCCTTTCTTGGCGAGGTCATCACTGAAGTACAGAGCCCCTCTGGGGTCATGTGATTTAAACTCTTCTTTATTTAATTTTGACAATATAACTTGTGACAACACATTTACTAAGTTCCTAATAGGTATGACCGATGGTAGCGTAATTGTTTGTTAAAAATGTCAAATTGTAATTTTATGGCTCATCACCGTTTTGATAGATTCAGCTAATGGCTAATGTGAGTTGGCAGTTGTTACCATAGTAACAGTAAATGTTAATGGAGTGGGCTGAAGGAACTAAACAGAGTGATCAAGCTGCATTGTTAGAATCAGAATCAGAATCAGAATCAGAAATACTTTATTGATCCCCGAGGGGAAATTATTTATGTTATGTTAGTATGAATAAGAAACACTGTATATGGTAAAAATACAAAATATACACAATATGAACATCAATAAATGACAGGCTAGCACCTGTGATAATAAGAAGGTGGTAGATATGAATAGGATTCACTGTATTATAGACAGATAGATAGATAGATAGATAGACAGACAGACAGACAGACAGACAGATAGATAGATAGATAGATAGACAGACAGACAGACAGACAGACAGACAGATAGATAGATAGATATGGCAACAAGTGCCTGCTGATGTTAGCCATTAGTTTAATCTTCCAAAACAACAATAAGCCTTAAAATTACAATTCAGTATTTTTGAAAAATAACAATAATAATGATAATAATTACAACTAGCATCAGTCAGACCCACTGGGACCTCAGTCAATATGTTGTCACAAGTGATATCATCAAAATTAGATCAATACAAGCTTTAATCCTTGTTATTTAGAAAGCCTCAGGATGCTCGCACTGATTCACCTGACACACTTCGTTTTCTCCACTTTTCCTGAACCTTGATGATAAAAGCGGCCAAGTTAGCGTGACAAAGAGTCAGAAAGACGCCATGACAGGAATAAAGCCCAGAATCTTATTTTAACTTTAGAGGAAGACGGAGGTTTTGGATTAACACTGATCCTGCCTTGAGCTCTGAGTCTGCGTTAACTTTTCAGTTTTTAACCTTCGTCTCTTCTGAAGCTGAACCAGGAGCTGAACACGACCAGGACACGTGTGACATCATGCTTTAGTGTCCGGAGAGGAAACTGAAGGAGAGCAGCTTAAACAAACGTGTTCGTGAACATTTTCAGATACGTTTTATCAAAACACGTCAGCTGTTAAAAATGAGACGTATAAAAGTCTTTTTTGGGTTTCTGAGACAGGAACAGGACAGAACTGTTTCTGATTTGAATCATACGTCCCGGATTTTATTCAGACAACGTTCAGCTGCTTCGTTTTGCTTCGTTGGTTCAACACGTTGATATTTCTCAGTATATGAACAGCTACCATCTCAACACCTCTGTTTGTATCAGGCTGTAATTTCTACAGAAAAACACTGAGTCAGCAGGAAGTCAGACTGAGTGATGTTCCTCAGAGAGCTCATTACACCCTCCTCCTCCTCCTCCTCCTCCTCCTCTTCATCATCAGTCTCAGATTAAACCTCCTCCTGTACTGAAGACTGAGCATCATGAAGTTGAGCTGATGCATTCTGGGAGATATTACAGTCATAAATCAGGTTGAATCTGAGCAGCTGCTTCTGTTTCTCTGACACACACAGAAACACTTCAGCAGGAAATTAAACCAGATTCATTTTCTACCGCAGCGAATCTGACACTCCAACACTGATCATCAGAACTGCTGGTTCATCTTCTACTGTGGAGCTGAATCATCATCATCATCATCATCATCATCATCATCATCAGATACTTTATTATCCCCATGGGGATATTCAGACTCTGCAGAGACCCGTTATCAGTTTTCACCTAATACTTCTGTTAACGATCAAAATGCTTTATATTCTGGTCTTTTTGCTGCTGACTCACTGTTCAGACTGACTCACTGTTCAGACTGCTGACTCACTGTTCAGACTGACTCACTGTTCAGACTGCTGACTCACTGTTCAGACTGCTGATTCACTGTTCAGACTGACTCACTGTTCAGACTGCTGACTCACTGTTCAGGCTGACTCACTGTTCAAACTGCTGAGTCACTGTTCAGACTGTTGAGTCACTGTTCAGACTGACTCACTGTTCAGACTGCTGACTCACTGTTCAGACTGCTGACTCATTATTGCCGTAAGTCAATTAAATGTATTAACATCAGTGTTCTGATAGAAGTGTGTTTTATAGAAATCTGATCAGCCTGAAGCTTCAGAATCACTTCGGTCATTAAGTCTCCCTCCTCCACACCAACCGCGCACACACACACACACACACACACACACACACACAGGACCAATCTCATTAGGGGAGGCAGGAACATTACAGCTCGTTATGCTACCATGGCAACAGCCTCCCTTGACGACACTGACAGCATCCTCATCTCACACACACACACACACACACACACACACACACACACTGTGATCCGTGTGTCTCACACAGGTCAGCCAGTGATGAACGACCTCACTGATTTGAGGTGTGGCAATAATTAGTTATTGATCACAGATCAGAGAGGGATCGTATTACACAGCGCTGCCACAACTGTCAGACAGTTTGAAGTTTGTGCGCGATGAACAGAGCAAACATTTAAACAATACGAATCATTCTTCATCTGAAAAAGTTCACACATGAACTTGAGGTCATGAGGTCATGAGGTCATCTGGTGGGGAATCTTCATCTCAATCTGCTGCTGTAACCATAGTAACACAGCATCACCAAGTACAACTGCCTGCTGATGACCTCTCCTCTCTACCTGTCTCTACCAATCAGCTGCCCAGTCTGAGTATCTGGTATCTGGTATCTGGTATCTGGTATGGCAACACCACTTGGACAAACAAAGATCATGCAGAACTGCATGAACATAGTTTATGGACTTTTATATTTTAGAATAGAACAAAAAAATCATCTGCTGACGTTGAAGCAAATGTAACGAGTAACGAGAAGCCTTTCAGCTTTGTGACGATTCATTTTCCAGCTGAGTTTATTCCACAACACATAAAGGAACACATCGTCATCGTTCAGTTTATAAACATCAGCACATCTGGAGATACATGGTTATCACTGGACAGGAAGTAACTAAAGCTGTCAGACAGATGTGGAGCAGGAAAAGTAAAATATTACCTCTGAGGTGAAGAACAAGGAGAAATGGACCTGAAAATACTTTAGTTTCCACCACTAACCGTCACATGAGCAGCTCTCTAGAGTCTGTTTAAAATAAAATCCTTAATATCTATAAAACACAGTAAAAGGTCAAAGGTCATGAAGCACTGTCAGGAGACTGCAGTGTGACCTGATGTTTACACACTGCAGACAACAGACGGGACTCTTTACAGCAGCTGTGTGCTGACAGTGAAAAGAAAAACAATGTGACAGTTTTCAACAGCAAAACCCAATAAAATCACACAAACTGTGTTTTATTGTAGATTATTTTTATTTTAAGGGAAAAGTGTAAACTTATTTAAATGTGACTTTTAAAAACATTATGGGCATAAAATAAATATTATTCATTAATAAGAGATGTGTTTAATTTTTTTCATTTATTTACATGGAGGGATGAATTCACACATCTCATTAAAGATCAGAAACAAACAAGCAGCAGGTAGAGACTCACCTTAGGCCGACCTCTGATGTCACTCTGTCTGGAGGATGGACGACAGTTCGCGTGGACGTTCTCAGGTCCAGCAGCTGACTGAGCTCACCTTGCAGAGAGACGTCAGTCAGGTGAAGAGCACAGTCCTTATGTCTCCGTGTCTCATTGTGTCCGTGTCCTCTCTGAATCAAACCTCTCGATCATCATGTGCTCACCTGAGCGGCTGCAGCAGCTCGCGGCTCTCTGATCACCTGTCTGTCATCTTCCTATTTTAACTACTTCCGTCCGCGTGAAGTGTCACCACTGAATCAACCAATGAAAACAACTCATACCTCAACTCTTATTAGACACAGGCCGACAGAAAAATAAAACAAAATAAAATAAACCCAGATTTTAAAGAGAAGTTAAAATATTTCAGCAAATGAATCCTGCGTTTGTGTCAAAATATGAACTCTCATTTTATTCTATTCTAACATCACAGATTTGTAAACTCTAAAACTACCTTGCAAATATAAAATGGATCTGCAGATACACAAATTATAAAAGAAATGACAGCATAAAATGCAAATATGCAAGTCTGTGCTTGTGTTAATGCTTTTCATTTATTTGTTAATTAAATACATGTATTCACAGATTTTTATTTGAACACTTTATTTGTGTATGTAAACTTTTTTTTGGGGGGGGGTGCAAATCTTTTCTGATAGTGTAGAAGTTGTTTTAAATGTACAGATTACACTTTAACACAGAGGCTGTCGATCGATCAGTTCACACAAATGATATCGACAGTAATCGACCTCTATACATTATTAATATATCTGATATTCATGTGTAATCTAATCCTTATTAAAAGATGTCAGTCGCACACACACACACACACACACACACACACAAACACACACACACACACACACACACAGTATGATCAGTTTTATATAATCAATAATTTTACATCCTGCCAACAGAGGAGGGTGAGGGTCATTAAAAACATAATGTAGAAATGAATGTAAAAAAGCTCACTCGTGTGTGTGTGTGTGTGCGTGTGCGTGCGTGTGTGTGTGTGTGTGTGTTAAAATTCGCCTCTCCTTCTTCTTCATGGTCTTCTACTTGGTCCTGAGGAGTTTTTACCTGCAGAGGATGAAAACTGATTTTAGGAAATATAATTATTGTGTTTCTCTCAGAGAATAAAATGGATTAAGATGGATGTCAGTTTCGTGTTCAGTGCAGAGCTGCAGTCTGGACGTGGTGTTAGCCTAGCTTAGCATAAAGACAAGTTCAAAAATACACCTGCCAACATCTCAAAGACTGATTAACATGTTATATCTCTGTTGTTTCCTGAGTGTTGAGCAATTTGTTACCTGCACTGCACAGGAGTGTTACGCCCATGGAAAGGTCGAGTAATCCAGAGGGTTTAAGCTCCACCCTCACACTCAACAAAAGCTCCACCCTCCTCTTTGTGAGGAGACAAAATATTTATAGTGTTCAACAACTAATTTCCCATGAGGCTTCGACAGTGTGCCAAAAGTTAAGACTCCATTTTTAGCATCTTGTAAACATGTGAATCTGTGAACACAGACGCAGTAAATATTTTATATATTTATTAAAACGCTGAGGTGTTCAGAAAACATCGTGTAGTCATGGAAACAGACACCATGTTTGTGAATGATAGAAGCTGAAGCTGAACAGAAAATAGAGGGGCCCAGGATTGAACCCTGGGGAACACCCCAACACATAACTTATTTACTGTGTCTGAAAAGGGGTATTTACCTCTTAACTACAAGAGCCTCATGTGAAATGTAGTTGTTAAATACTAACACAATAATTTTTTTTATCTCTTTACAAAGAGAAGGGGAGGGGGCGGGGTTTTGGAGAAGCAAGAGGGCGGGGCTTCAGTCCTCCATATTACTCTACATTTCCCTGGGTAAGTAAGTAAGTAAGTAAGTAAGTAAATTTTATTTATATAGCACTTCTCACAGAGAGGACTCACAAAGTGCTTCACAAGGTAAAATACAAAAAATATAATAACAGAAACAATGCAAAAAAAAAAATGTCCACGGAAGAGGCTGCTCTCAGCTCATGAGGTAGTGCATTCCACCATTTCGGTGCAACAGCCTTAAAGGCTCTATCGCCTTTCGTCTTTAGTCTTGTGTGAGGGACAGTAAGTAGGTGGCCTTCAGCGGACCGCAGTGACCTGACAGGACAGTGAAAGGACACCAGAATCCGTCAAGTATGCAGGTGCTTGACCATGGAGGGCTCTGTAAGTGATGGTTAGAATCTTGTGCTGGATCCTGAAATTAACAGGGAGCCAGTGCAGGGATGCCAGGACTGGAGTCATGTGAGTGAACTTATGAGATCTGGACAGAAGCCTGGCGGCAGCTTTCTGGACCAGCTGGAGGCGTTCTAATTAAGTTTTATTTAGACAGGTGAAAAGAGAATTACAGTAATCCAGACGTGAGGAAATAAAAGCATGGATGATCATTTCTAGCTCGGAATAAGTTAACATGGATCTGAGTTTGGAAATGTTTTTGAGGTGGAAAAAGCAGGAGTGAGTGACAGTTTTGATGTGGTCATCGAAGAGCATGGCCTGATCAAATGTGACCCCAAGGTTTCTCAACTTGGGGTCACATTTGCACTGAGGGACCCTAAGCAGCTGGCCACTTTAGATGCTGAGGCATCAGGTGCAATAATTAAAATCTCAGTTTTAGCTGCATTCAACTGAAGGGAGTTAGAAGACATCCAGTCCTTAATTACATTCATACAATCGTACAGTGAGTCAATTCCATCGGTCCTATCAGCTTTAAAAGAAAAATATAACTGGAGGTCATCTGCATACATATGGTATGAGATACCTTCAAAATTTCTGATGACATCTCTGAGAGGGAGCATGTATAGCGTAAAGAGGATTGGCCCAAGCACTGAACCTTGGGGCACCCCGCAAGAAAGGGGGGCAAACTCTGATTTATGAGGGCCAACAGCCACAGAAAAGGATCGATCAGACAGATAGGATTTAAACCAATGAAGAGCGGTCCCTGAGATTCCTACCCTGTCCCTCAGCCTGTCTAAAAGGATGTGGTGATCAACAGTGTCAAAGGCTGCACTGAGATCAAGCAGAGGGTATAAACCTCTCATTCAGCACAGGAAACAAGTTGTTAACGCTCAGGTCTCGACCTTCCTTCTGTTACTGACCCCTGACCCCCGACCTGTCTCCCAGCCTCTACCTGCAGCTCATGGCGGAGGGCGTGGCCTGGATGTGTCAGTGGGTGGGATCAGACGCCAGCGCAGAGACCTCCGTAACCTGCTGCCTTATGAGGACCAGGTGTTGTCATATCCTGCTTCCCAGGGGGGAGGCGGGGCCAACAACCTTTACTACCAATCAGATGACTGGAGGGGGCGGGGCCTGGACCAGGCTCTCCAGCGATTGGTGGAAAGGGACCAGAGGCGGGAGCAGGAAGAGGAGCAGCGAGCAGGTTCGAGTTTTTTCTCAACATATAAAAATATTTTTCTCAACAGATTTCAACTTTTTTTTCTCTATGTATTACGACTTTTTCTAAACATGTTACGACTTTTTTCTCAACAGATTAAAAAACATAATAGGACATTTTTTTGTCAAAATATTGCAAGTTTTTTCTCAATATTTTGCGACTTTTTCTTAATACATTAAAATTTGTTTCTCAACATATTCTGACTTTCTCTCAAAAAATTAAAACATTTCTCTACAGATTACAACATTTTTTCTCAATATTTTACGACCACATAGGGACTTTTTTGTCAATATATTACAAATTCTTACTAACATATTACGACTTTTTCTCAACAAATTACAACTTTCTTTCTCAACAGATTTGGACTTATTTTTGAAAGATTACAATTTTGTATCACACTTGACAAATTATTAGTCGACTGTTAAACAAATCATGACTTTGTTCTAGAAATATAAATACTTTTAAAAATACTTTGACTTTTTAGATATTTTGTCCTGTCTTGAAACAGTGGCTGTTTCAGTTTGATTCTAAAATCTGTTCTGTGAATAAATCTTTATCACATTTGTTTCAAGAAATAAAAACTTGACAAATAAATCGACCAATCAAATGTGTCCACAGCGTACTTGGCAGCTTTGCTCCGCCTACTGAGCGAGGCAGAGAGCGCAGGATTGGTCGGCCCAGGTGATGTTGAGGTGGTAGAGGAGGAGGAGGATGAGGAGGAGGATCAGGGGCCACCAGGAGACTTCCAGGGCCCGGCCCCCGCAGACTACGATGAGACAGGACGGGGGCTGAACATGGGGAGGCCCCCTGCTGCCTGGTGGGGCCTCCTGGAGCCCCAGCTGGCTCAGGCGCTGCTGGACAGGTGAGCACCAGGTGACTGAGTTAGGGTTTAAGCTCTCGCATTTGTCATTAATCAAAGTTATTGACAACTTGTGATCGACAGGATGGAGCCTCAGCTGGCTCAGACTCTGCTGGAGAGGGCCCGACAGGAGCGCCTTCAACAGGCCGGACGAGTTCCATCAGGACTGAACCGAGGAGGCGACCAGGACGCTCTGAGGTCTCAGCAACATCACACTCATCAATAATCCTGTTTCAAGATTAGTACAAATCACAAAGTTTGTTGACAATAACTTCCCCATATAATCCTGTGTTTTATTGACAGATGACAACTTTATTGACAGAATATAACATTACTGTGACACATGACGACTTTATTATCGACACGAGGATTCCATTTTGGACATTTGACGACTTTTGTCCACGTAAAGAAACACGAGCACTAACGATACCGTTATATGTCCTCTTCCTCCTCAGACGTCTGGTTGCTAGGTTACTGTCTAGCATTGGCCCTAACGACACCCCGGTGATCTCCTCTGGTCGCCGTACGAGGAGGGACGTGTCCATCGCAGCACCTGAACCTGCTAGCTCCGCCCACAGGAGAACCCGCCGCTCCCTTGATGATGTGGCTCCTCCCTCACCTAGCAACGACCCACCTCTGCTCAGAGTGAAAAGGCTGGAGGATGAAGAGGAAGAGGAAGAGGAGAAGCTCAGCCCCCCCGCTGTCGGGCTGCAGAGGATGAAACGCATCAATACCATGGCAACACCTGATGTGGAAGAACTGAATCATGGGAGTCGTAGGCGCCGGAGGAGAGCTGTGGTGAACTACGACCCCCAAATACTGATCGATCAGATCCTGGAGTACATGAGGGAGTAAGAGGAGGAGAGGAGAGGAGAGGAGAGGAGAGGAGGAGGAGCAGGAGGGGAAAGAGGAGAGGATAGGGGTTGAGGAGAGGAGAGGAGAGAAAAGGAGAGGAGGTGAAGAAGAGGAGGAAGTGTATTTCATCGTTGTCCTTCAGGATTTTTTATTTCCTGTATTTTTTTTAAATGTTTTGCTGCTTTTGGTGAAAAATCGTCTCTGATCAGTCGTTTGTTGTTAAAATGAGAAGAAATGAAAAAGTGATGGAGGAAATTTAATTTATAAAATCTGTCATGTCCTTAAAAAAGTCCTTTAAATGTCCTGCAGAGGGCGACGTCATTCTGCTTTTTATTTAACCCCTTCATCTCCATTTCAGTGATGAAATATATTCATGAAACAGCTCAGTCATTATTAATTAACATAAAAGTAAACAATCAACTTGATTTCATGTGAAAAAGACGAGCGGCTCTGAATCATCCAAAGATTTTATTAACTGAACGTGTGACAGAATAATCAGAGAGAAGTTTAACTGCTTTAAACTCAACGGGTCATTAAAATAAAGCTTTAACAAATGACGTTTGTTCACACTGATGATGAGATGAAACCGGCTCTGTCTGCAACACGCAGCTCAACATGTCAGTTCATATTTACTGTAAAACTTCTATTAAAAGCCCAGGCTATTATTTGCTTAAATCACTGAAATCAACAGGCCTATATTTGAGACAGGCCTTTAATTCCTTTCACACAAAACTTTTGCTACGATCAAACTGTTTATTTGAACTAAAATGAATATTACTTGTTTATAAATAAGGCTTTGAATAACATTTTAATTATTATATAAATCATTACATATTTTTACAGCACCCAGCATAACAACACAACAACACTTTATCCTGTTAAAACAATGCTTCTAACTTGGATTAATGTTTATGAAAAATCTTGATTCTTTTGATCAGTGGACCCTTACCGACTACAGAAATATAAATAACTTAGCGGGTAATAAATGAATGGACACATATTCTGACTTTATGACCCCTACAGAGGAAGGCAGTCACCACTTCTTTTTCCATTCCCGTTGTTTAACATGCCTCTAAATCTGAATGGTTTCAGTAAAGTAAACTGAATGATTGAATTGTAAAGAATCTGACCAAGCTAACGATGTGTAGCATCTCTGTACTGACAACAGTTTAAACATTCATATTTGTATGTGCGATCAAAGCAGCTCAGTAACATTAGCTCAGGTGGCCAACAGCCTGTTTTATACATCCAAAGAACTTCTATAAAAATGAGCAGGCCTCTGATGGAGACAGGCCTTTATTTGTCGACACGTGTAGCAGCAGCGGGCTCGTTACAGTGACTGGGCCTTCAATTGAAGTTTTACAGTATTTGGGTTTAAGTGGAGATTTTCTTCCAGAGAAACTCTTTAACGAACAGTCTGAACTCTGTTTAACACATTAGAACCTAATTATGTTTTTGTTGTTGTTTGTTTGTTTGTTTTGTGGGAAACTTTTTCAGAAATGACATATTTGCCTTAATCTGGTCTGTGGAGAGGCTTTTAACACTACACTACCCACAATCCTCAGCAGCTGTTCCAAATCCCAAAAACAATCACTTTAACTTTTTTGCATTTTTTTCCATCAGTTTTACAAAGATCCAACTGTAACATCAAAACCCAGCAGCTGACCCGCAGCACAGTCTGAAGCTCTCTGACTGGTTGTTTCTGACAGCAGTGCTCTCTGGGACTTGTAGCTGACCCCGCCCACTTTAATTCTTTATTTAAAAAAGGTCAATTTTCAAAAATATCTAGCGGTAAATTCAGCTCTGTACTGACCCAATCTTCCCTCCATCAGTGTGAAAATGCAGACAGATGACGGTAACCGTGGCAACAGCTCATCAGCTCTGTGATTGGCTCGTTCCTGTTGTGTTCATGTACTTCAGCTTGTGTGCAGCAGCTCTGTCGGTGTGATCACTCGTCTGTCCGTGGTGAAACGAACAACTTTTATTTATCTCACAATCTGAATTAAAGTCAGTATCCACCACAAACTGCTGTCTGTCTATCTGTCTGTCTGTGTGTCTATCTGTCTGTCTGTGTGTCTATCTGTCTGTCTGTGGATTTCTGTCTGACGCACAAACACGATTTACTATCAGCTTTTACACATTTCAGAGTTTCTTATACTTTCTGTGAGGGATGATGTTCAGCCTCCACAAACAACAGACCAATCAAATGTTCAACAAAGTGTTAATAAAGTTTCTGACCAGATGTTTGAAATTAAAAGGTTAAATATGAACAACCTAATCTCACCTCACAGTCGTCATAGTGATGCTCTGCAGAGCTTCATCATGATGACGTTAACGCACACAAACACAAAGATAAACATCAGCTGATGAAGATCATGTGATGCGACGATCAAAAGCTCAGCCATTCGTGGACCTGGAGGAGAGATGATTGAAGTCATGACTGTTTGAACTTCAAGACTGATGATACATGATGTGACACAGGACTCACCTGTTCAGGTAACATCATCAGGTAACTACATCAACAGGTATCTTCAGCTAGATTGTGAATGTCAGTTAAACAGGTCATTTTACCAGATGAGATACCTTTATTCAGGAAACATCAGCACTTAAAACAAGTAACCTTACCTGAGCAGGTGAGATTAATCTTCCTGTGATTCAAAACTGACTCACATTTCTGTGGAAAAGCTGCTCAGTGAACCAGGACTCACCTGCTCAGGTAACATCATCAGGTAGCATCGCCAAGTAACCTCAGTTAAGGTGGTTACATCACCTACGCAGGTAACTTTTCCTAATAAGGTCATGCCACCTGGTCAGGTAACTTTATCACGTAACACTGATCTGGTGACATAAAGATAATTTTACCTGGTCAGGTAACATCTTCAGGTAACTTCAGTTCAAGTTACTCTACAGGAACAGGTAACTTTACAGTAACATCAACAGGTAGCTTCAACTAGGCCGTTTATATCAGTTAAACAGGTCATTTTACCAGGTGAGATACCTTGACCTTTACTCAGGTGACATCAGCACCAAAACAGGTAACCTCACCTGAACAGGTGAGATTAATCTTCCTGTGATTCAAAACTGACTCACATTTTTGTGGAAAAGCTGCTCAGTGAACCAGGACTCACCTGCTCAGGTAACTTCATCAGGTCACACTGGGTAATCTGGTGACTTACTTACAGGTACCTTTACCTGCTCAGGTAACATCATCTCGTGCGCTGTGCTTCAGTGTCTACATTTTCTCTGCAGCAGCAACAGGAAAAGCAGCTGTCACATGACCTGAACAACAGTCTGTGATTGGTTGATGACAGATGATGTCACCCTTCAGTGATTCAGAAACAAACTCAGTCTGATCAAATCTATATTTTATTGATGAGAATAAAAACATGAACAAACAAACTGTTTATTAAGTTCAGTCTCATGGCAGCACGATAAACAACAACAAACATTCTACAAACATCTGACGTTATAAAATGACTTTTTACTTTGAGGCTAAACTGTACGGAGGCCCATTAGGGACAATTTGTATTGATCAAATTATGTCTGGTTACAAAATAAAATCTCAGTATTAAATATTAAATCTCATATTTAGCCACAGTGACATCACATTATTGATTCATTACTTGTTTCAAACATCAGTTTAATTAAATAAAGTTATTGTTGCTTTTTGTTTGTGCTTCAAAGGTCGACACGAAACTTAAACTGAGAGTTTAGATCGATCACTTTCATCTCGTTGGATAGCCTAGCTTAGCACAAAAATTGGAAGCTTGTTAGCTATCTAGTTTTTAATCCTGTAGTCAGCCAAGCCAAGGGTCAAGAACTAAAAGCTAACTGGACCTGAAGCTAACTCTCAATGTCAGTTGGGTATTTTAATCTAGGCCTACAGCAATGCATCATGGTCTATAAAATCGTTATATGTTTGTAGCATGGCTGTCCTGTGAGAAACACGCATCTCTTGAAAAGTCAGGAAAACTGCCTGTTTTCAGCTTTGTGACGACGACTTTTACAGCTGAGTTTATTTATCGACACATAAAGGAACAACAGTCAACACGTCCGGAGATACATGGTTTTCACTGGACAGGAAGTAACTATTAACTAACGTCGAGCAGTAAAGAGTAAAATATTACCTCTGAAAAATGGAAATACTCCGGTAAAGTACCTTGAATTTGTACTTCAGTTAAGTACTTGAGTAAATGTACTTAGTTACATTCCACCACTGAGAGACGGACCACAGGTAACTGAACGTGATGTTATTGCTGCTGGAGATGCATAGAGGCTGTAACACATCAACACAGAGGGTTGTTAAATCTAAAACCTGATGAAGATGTGACACACGTTCTGTCCTCCTGACACACGGCTTCAAACTAAAGATACTCATGTTACTGTGAAATACATCCTGTTCCCTGTCTCTCCTTTTCTTCATCCTTTTCTCCTCACCGTCACAACATGAAGGTCGATACGGTTGCCAGGAAACCAGGTGATGATGACAGGAGATTCTATTCGTCGCCTCCTCCTCCTCCTCCTCCTCTGATGATGATGATGAAGGATGGAGAGATCAGGAGGAGAAGTGAAGTCAAACTGTCCCTGAAGAAGAAGAGGAAGAGGAGGAAGATGAAACAGTTTGTGTGAAGTGTTAAAGAGACAAAAGAAGAAGAAGAGACTCACCTGGCGGTTCTACGCTGACATCAGCAGACCTGTGGTCACTGCAGGAACAAACACACACACACCTTTTCTTTACCTGTTTAATTGAAGCGTTTCTAATGCTAAGCTAACTGAAAATGAAGCTAAGATACCCCACCCTCACCATCCTTGGCGTCTGGCGGCAGCAGGGCGTCTTGTCTGTTGGCGAGGACGAAGGCCAGCGTGGCCAAGATAGCAGCATCCAGGATGCCCAGGATGGCCAGGATGTAGGCCCAGTGCACCGAACAGTTACCTGGAGAGAAGCTGCCCACCTGGAGACACAGGTTCAGAGTCAGAATTCAGATTCACAAAACTTTATTGATCCTCCCGGAGAGACTGGGAGACGTTACACCTGCTCATACATACAGACTTACACTGTAAATTATTTCAATATGTAACTGTAATATTTCACAATAAATTACAGTATTATCACCTCATGCAGATAAATATATTAATTACAGAATAAATACAGTAAAGTTCATCCATGAACCATTTTCCCTGGATAAGATCTTATAAAAGTCCATGGTCATATTCACACAGAGCTGAAGCTGCCCGTTACATTTACAATATATCCATAAAGTCAATTTGATTTGTGTGATTTCCAATTCATCATAATGAGACGTTTCACTGACATAAAAACTGGAGCCATAATGCGGTGTGTGAGCTTCAACTGTATATTTCTGTCCCTGTGCCTCAGAGGCAGACTGACGGACATCCAGGATAGAAGACAAACTTCATATTACCTTGTCCCAAAAACATCTGACTGTGGGCAAATGCCATGACAGATGCATGAGTGATCCTGCCTCACCTCAGCCATGCCAACATAGATGTGAAAGGACCACCCTGTGCACCACCTTTATTTGCAAAATTTTGTATCAAACACATTTGGATACGATTGATAAGTTTCTCAGGACAGACTCCCGCCGGGCTGAGGTCAGGGACACACCCAGGTCTCTCTCCCACTGATGTTCAATGGAAGCTTGGCTGTCTGAGGAGGCGAGGTACATTAACCCGTACACTGCCGAAACTACTCTCCCTCCTAAAGCGTTTTGACTCAATTTATTATCAAGTTCTCTATTAAGTCCTGTGGACATTTTCTTTGTGATGAGGGAGCTTAAGATTGATCCTAACTGGAGGTAAAATTCAGCATCTGTTAAATTATACAACGTCTTCAACTCGTTAAAGCTGAAATCAGAAATGATCATCTCAGTAAAATATTAATTTACCCCAGAATGAAATGGGAAGAACTGTCCAACTCTTTATTTCTTCTCTAACTGACTTTAGGAGATGTGGTCCATTTAAGTCAAAAATCTTGTCTATAGGAGTTTGGATGTTTATTCCAAGATATTTCATGTCCTGTGTTCTCCACTGAAAAGGGGTGGTACTGAGATGTGAAGGACAGGTTAGGTGGTTCGGGGGAGCGGCCTCACTCTTATTAAAATTCACCTTATAACCAGAAAAACTCTCAAATGCATCGATCAACTTCGTCACCTGTTGGATCGACTGAGATGGTTTTGATAACATTGATTAAACATCACCTGCGTACAGATTAGCTTCAAAATCACATCGCCCAATGTCAACACCGGCAATTTTCCTCTGTGCTCGTTGATGACATTTTAAATGTCTAACAGCATTAGAATTTCATGTTGTGTGAACATTAATATTTTGACATTTTGCACAACATTGGCTTTGTTCTCTCTATATATATGAAGAAGCGTAGTTATTATATGTCAAGGTGACGTTGGCACCAGACGTTGGGAAACCAACAAAATATCAACGTCATCTGTCGCCAGATTTTATGTGAAATTGATGTTGGCATCAATGAATGTTGGCGACCTGAATTCAATCAAATATCAACTGTGAAAGATGTTTATGGCCGCTAGGTGTTTTATAAGAAATGGAAATATATGAAATATGTTGAAAGATGTACAATAGACACAGAATCATCAAGTCACTGATCACCTGATCATCATACAACTGCTGCTGACTCTGTGTGTCTCAGTACTGATTAAGAATAAGAAAAGATTTATTTTCTGTCGATCAGTGTCAAAGAGTTTCAACAGAGTGAACATGTTTAATATAAGACACCTTTATATGCATCTAATATTTTAGATAAATAATTATATATAAAACTCACAGAGTCTCCACACAGAGCTCTCATCTCTGGACTCTCCCACGAGTCTGGAAACAGAAGACAGGCCAACGCCAGACAGAAACCTGACAGACAGACGGACAGACAGAATGTGTTCAGTTTAAAGCACAACAAAGTTTCACCATTTTGACTGCGACCCTCATTATCAGGTCCAGCAGAACCAGTAGAACCAGTGACTGACCTGCAGTGAGCTGCAGCCACGCACAGATCTTGTAGACGGTGGCGGCACTGCAGAACCTGAAGAGACAGAGGCAGAGGACGCTGGTCCACACCGCCCACAGAGACACGCCCACCAACACCGCCACCGACTGGAAGGATGGCAGAGGGGACAGACTGGACAGACCACCACGACAGTCCGGGACCGGCCAGTCTGACTCCACACATACCTGACAACACACAGGCATACAGGGACACACAGGCATACGGGGACACACAGACATACAGGGACACACAGGCATACGGGGACACACAGACATACAGGGACACACAGATATACAGGGACACACAGACATACAGGGACACACAGGTATACAGGGACACAAAGGCATACAGGGACACACAGACATACAGGGACACACAGGTATACAGGGGCACACAGGTATACAGGGACACAGATATACAGGGACACACAGGCATACAGGGACACACAGGTATACAGGGGCACACAGGTATACAGGGACACAGGCATACAGGGGCACACAGGCATACAGGGGCACACAGGTATACAGGGACACAGGCATACAGGGACACACAGGCATACAGGGACACACAGGTATACAGGGACACAGGCATACAGGGGCACACAGGTATACAGGTACACAGGTATACAGGGACACAGGTATACAGGGACACACAGGTATACAGGGGCACACAGACATACATGGGCACACAGGCACACAGGCATACAGGGACACACAGGTATACAGGGGCACACAGGTATACAGGGACACAGGCATACAGGGGCACACAGGCATACAGGGGCACACAGGTATACAGGGACACAGGCATACAGGGACACACAGGCATACAGGGACACACAGGTATACAGGGACACAGGCATACAGGGGCACACAGGTATACAGGTACACAGGTATACAGGGACACAGGTATACAGGGACACACAGGTATACAGGGGCACACAGACATACATGGGCACACAGGCATACAGGCATACAGGGACACACAGGTATACAGGGACACACAGGTATACAGGGACACACAGGTATACAGGGACACAGGTATACAGGGACACACAGGTATACAGGGGCACACAGACATACATGGGCACACAGGCATACAGGCATACAGGGACACACAGGTATACAGGGACACACAGGTATACAGGGGCACACAGACATACATGGGCACACAGGCATACAGGCATACAGGGACACACAGGTATACAGGGGCATACAGGCATACAGGGACACAGGCATACAGGGGCACACAGGCATACATGGGCACACAGGCATACAGGGACACACAGGTATACAGGGACACAGAGATATACAGGGACACACAGGCATACAGGGACACACAGGCATGCAGGGACACACAGGCATACATGGGCACACAGGCATACAGGGACACACAGGTATACAGGGACACAGGTATACAGGGACACACAGGCATACAGGGACACACAGAGATACATGGACACAGGTATACAGGGACACACAGACATACAGGGACACAGACATACAGGGACACACAGGTATACAGGGACACACAGGCATACAGGGACACAGGCATACAGGGACACAGACATACAGGGACACACAGACATACAGGGACACAGGCATACAGGGACACACAGGCATACAGGGACACACAGGCATACAGGGACACACAGACACATTGGGACACAGACATACAGGGACACACAGGTATACAGGGACACACAGACACACAGGGACAAACGGAGACAAATTATCAGTACATTTGAAAACATCTGATTTCTGTTGGACATGAACGTCTCCATAGAAACACCTGCTAGACTAGTAACTGTTGCTAAGCTGTGATTGGACGGTCACTGCGTCCTGTTCCTCAGCTGTGATTGGACGGTCACTGCGTCCTGTTCCTCAGCTGTGATTGGACGGTCACTGCGTCATGTTCCTCAGCTGTGATTGGATGGTCACTGCGTCATGTGTCTCACCTCAAACAGTCCCAGGGTGCCGCTTGGCGGGGCCGGTCCCGCCCCCAGATGGCGAGTGTCTCCCGTGCCGATCCAGGATGGCTGCACCAGGACGACTACCTGAATGATGGCGAAGCAGAGCGTGCAGACGGCCCAGAGGACACCGACGGCCCGGGCGCTCCGCACGAACTCTGTCTGATAGAGGCGAGAGAGGTCGGCGAGGGCGGGCGACACCGACATCACTGAGAGACACAGAGAGATTAACTTAAATATAAAGTGTGAAAGATTATAATAATCATGACTCATCACTGTTGGTCACATCTGATCAGGTTTTTTTTTACCTCGTCCACTTTTGTGTCAGCTGTGATTTGCTCTCACTAGAGGACAGATGTAAGTGTCCATGCATGAGGACAACAGGTCTGCGCGCGAGACCAGCGAAAGCACGTGAACACAGATAAAGGCGGTGCCCATGTCTCACGATCTCGCGCAAGTGCACACGTGAGCGCGGTGCCCAGAGAGGCAGTCAGAGCTACAGGCTACAATGAGGCTAAAAACAGAGTTCAAATGAGGTTTTTCCAAACAGCTTTTTATGTCGGGGCTTCAGGACACTTGGATCACTACGGACGAGCAGTATGGAGATATTTTGTGGTTTCAATGATGTGTTTTTGGACATTTGAATCTGGGGCGCCGTCAGCCTCCATTAGGTGGAGTTGTGTTGCTACCTCCTCTCCCCTTGGATCTCTGCAAGTGATGTGAGGACTCTAAAACTTCACCTGATCCTCCCTCGTCATATGGGTGAGTAGATAATGGCTGAATTTACATTTTTGGGTGCACTATCCCTTTAACTCCAACAATAGAGATACATCTTCTTTTAATCCCTTTTTTAGCTTTTTGCACTGTAAATTTACAAACATCTCTCAAAACATATTCACACTCATGCACAGAAAAAACCTTTGTACAGAGTCTGGACTTTGATTTAGCTTTAAACATTATTTGCATTATTTTATAATACAGCAAATCATTAAATTTTAAAGTATTGGAATTAATGAACAGTGGGTTAGTGTGATCATAGTAATCAGCCTTGTTAATAATATGTATGGCTCGTTTTTGTAGTAGTGTTATTGAAGTTATAATTGTTTTAAAAGTATAAGTGAACAATAAATAATATACAAGGCCTCGTCATTTAGTATATCTCTAGATTTATTTAGGATTACTATAGACTTCAAGATTTTACCTCTAACATAATCAATGTGTTGTTTCCATGTCAATTTATGATCAATCACAACCCCTAGAAATTTTGTCTCAAAAACTCTTCAGTATGTTCATAACCAATCTTTAATTCAATCTGTCCATCTATTTCCTGTCGGTTTCCAAATACCATGAATTTAGTTTTCTTCATATTAAGAGACAATTTATTAACATCAAACCAAATTTTCAGTATTCCCAGTTCCTTTTTCTACAGCCAACACAAGTTCCTGTAAATCTGTGTCATCCGCAAAAATTACACATTTGAACAATTCTGTAACATTACATATATCGTTAATATACAGTGTGAAAAGTTTTGGACCAATCACAGATCCCTGGGGTACTCCACAGGTGACCTTTCTGAATCCTGACCTAATATTATTAATTTCCACACACTGATGCCTATTTTCCAAGTAACTTTTCATCCTAGAGTAAGCTACACCTCGTATCCTGTACTTCTCCAGTTTTCTCAATAACTAGCTGTGATCTATTGTGTCAAAAGCCTTCTGCAAGTCAATACAGATACCAACAGAGTACTCATTATGTTCTATCACTTTTGTTACTTCTTCAACCATCTCCATTACTGCATAAGTAGTAGTTCTGTTTTCACACTCCCTGAGTGACTGGAGGAAAATCCATGACCCTCCCTCCTCCATGAATAACAAACAGTCCCTGATCAAACTGTTCTGAGAGCTGTTTGATTTTTAAAAGGCCAAATATAAAAAAGATGCTGAATACTTTCTAATGTTTCATAACTCAGTTGTGTTGTTGTATTTTCATTGTGTGGCTGATTCAAGACATTAAAATGTTAAAATTATGTGTCTTCTTTCATTTCTGTTTTTGTTTTTTTTAAATATGAAAACATGAAGTGTCCCATTTTTGCAGCGGCTGTATGAAGTGTTGTCAGGATTCATCACTTCACGCTGCAGCAGCGGGCTGGTGTTTGGGAGTCACCGGATGATCCAGTCAAATGTTCCAGAATGCGGATTTTCACAGAGTCGCATGTTTCCAACACTCAGCCTCCTCGAGCCACAGTGACTGTTCTACCTGAAGCTCCACCTGACACCAGTCACGGCTCTGAGCCTTCATTTACCCGCCATGTTTATCGATTATTGGCAGAATATAAATAAAAATACACGTTTATATTTGATACTCTGTGAACATTAAGACGGTTTAAGATTTTCATTAATGTTCAGTTTTTATCAATAACTGCGTCAGGCAGCTCCTGACAGCCAATCAGCATCAAGATAAACATAAACACGGTCCGCACATCCCGACGGTTACATCATCACCTCTACACACGCGCGCGCGCGCGCACAGCCGTGATTGAAAGAGAAGCTGATCTGAAATCAGAAACATCGACACATCAGATCAAAGAAGAAAAACCGGAAACGCACCTGCAGCGGGAGGAGATGCACCTGTCCGTCTGTCTGTCTGTGTGTGTGTGTGTGTGTGTGTGTGTGTCTGTGTCTGCAGGATGAGAGGATGCAGGCGGAGGAGAGGATGAAGGGAGGAGGAGGAGGAGGAGGAGGAGGCAGCTCTACATCCCCGGATGTGGATCTTCCTCCACCAGCACTGATCTGTAATCAATAAGTCACACTGACACAGGCCGAGATGATGAACAGGTTATCAGACAGTATCGATCTGCTGCAAAGGATCGATACTCTGCTTCATCTCAGCGCTTTATACCGTGTTTATATGATGGAGCTGCTCACAGCGCCACCTGCAGGCTGACCCGGGATCAGCTTCTTCTTCTACTGAGGAAATGATCTCACTCATTTATAACCACGAAGAAGAAATATCAGGACTCAGAAACACTGAGGGACACATCAGAGGTACTTTTACTCTTCAGTTACCCAAATTATCACTGTAAGTAATCCATTATACACATGTACTGCACTATATGTAATCTATTACTTTGTCATTAAGCTTTTGAGAACAAGTCCTACATTGAAATTATTACTTTGTGCTACTGATAAAAGTACAAAAGTATCAGAATATCATCATCATCAAAGTATACTGAAAGTACCAAAAGTAAAAGTACTCAGACTACAGGGTGTATTTACTTATTGTTATTGTTGTTAAATGTAGTGCAGTGAAATTATTTCCCCTGAGACGTGGAGTAAAAATATAAAGTAGCAGAAAATAGAAATACTCAAGTAAAGTACAGGAAAATTAAAATTAATTATTAATGAGTGACATCAGCAGGAAACAAAGATACATACAAACAAACATTTTAATAGTAATAATAGTAATAAAACATTTACAAACACAATATTGCACAACACACAAAACTCCTGCTGTCTCCACCTTAACACTGCCTTCACCGTCCCTCAGTCTTTAAATCAAACGCACCTCAGACACAGGACCTTCTGACTCTTGTATATTTCCGTCCGCAGCTTTAAAGATTGAACGTCTTCATATGTTGAACTTCGCTGACAGGAAACTAAATGTTCAGACTTTTCAAATTAAAGCGCAGACCTGATAATTAAACTCTCAGTCTGCAGCTACACACTGACACAATTCTGTTTTCAATAAAATAATGTTCCTTAGTTGTAAAAATCAAACGCACCTGAAGTGAGGACGTCCTTCTGTTCAAAAGAAAACTGAAAATTAAAAAGTAAAAATTATCTGGACATTTAAAAATCTCTCATCTTCAACAGAAACTGGTTATTAAAACTTTTCATCCATGTTTTTTCTGTCTGAAACAAACTTCCTGTTTTATTCTTTGTTTTTAAACCAGTTGGAACGACGTGATGCGTTCACGGACACAAACTCTGACTCGTCTCCTCATCCAGTTGTTTTTTGGTGTTTTTTCCTTTTACAACGAGCGAAATAAACACCTTGTTTTTCAGGCATCTTCTGAAACATTTAAATGATTTACAGACAGAAACGATTTCAAATGACGCAGACAACTCGTCTGTTTCTATGAGCATTTATTTTCTCACTTCCTGTTCTGATTATTTATTTTACTGAACTTTTATTTTTCTCCTCCGGCTGATCTCAGTTTAAACTTCCTGTAGTTAATAAACGAAAATAAAACTGCAATTTTTTGTTGTTATTGAGCAGCTGTTTGTGGGCATGGCCTCCTGATGACATCATCACTACTCCTCAATTGGCTCTTTTTGTTTGATAAACTTTGTTTCTGCTCAGTATTTTTTCAGAATAAAAGCACCCAGAGTCTGCTGGTGATTCGTCACATTTTCAGGGAATTGAACCGACGACCTGCTGATGATGATGATGATGGAGATGATGAAGATTATCAGCACCAATCTGGATTTAAAAAAATAAAAACACTTCATTTGTTTGTTTTTTTTTTGGCAGCTGTAAGACTCCGCAGACGTTGCTACGTTTCCCACAAAGCACCACTGCTGGTGTGCTGTATCCATGGCAACGCAAGAGTCCAATCACACCAAAGGGAGAGAGACAGGAACAGTGTCAGTGTTTTACATCATCCTCCTCCTCCTCCTCTTCCTCCTCTCAGCTCCATGGAGGGATCTCTTCTCCAAACTTGGCGCAGTGAGCAGCGTTTTTAGCTTCAAACAGAATCTGAAGGAGAAAAAAGTTTCAGTTTATTGATCTTAAATGATGAAGATGTTTTATTGACAATAATAAACGTATGGAGACAGATTTGTGTCAATATTATTTGTGTGAACTGATCAACAGCCTTAATGTGTAATCTGAAAATTTAAAGCACAATCGGATCTGCAGATACATTAAGTCCATCAAAAAAAACAACAGTAAATTCATTTAATTAATTTACAAAGAAATGAAACGTATTTGCGACAATTTTACAAACATTTACCAATTTTTGTGAATCCAGCTTTTATTTATAAATCTAACTTCAAAAAACAAAATATATGCAGGAAATTCAAATCCCAGCCTACACATGTGCTTTAACAAACAATCTTTTTTTTTTTATTTGTGTATCTGCAGATCCATTACACACTCGTAAAATAGTTTTTAGGGTTTACAAATCTTTCTTTGCATTTGTGGAAATATATTCACATTTTTCACATTAACACACAGATTGTCGAATTCCTCGCACACATTATACTTATAGAAATCCACCTCCATAAACAAATATTGGCACTAACCTATCTCCGTACACAAATATTGGCACTAATTTATCTCCGTACACAAATATAGGCACTAATCCATCTCCATATTAATGACATATTGTGATTAAGATGAGGTCACCTGGTTGTGTATGTAGGCCTCACACAGGTAGCACCACACGGACAGGTCACTGAAGCTCAGCACCAGCGGGTGTTCAGAAACAACACCGTGATTCACCATGTGCTCATTAACGTAACGACCACACAACACCTGAGACAGGAAGGACAGCAGGTGAGAAACATCATCATCAACAGGTGAGACAGACTGTGTGATGGACAGGTGAGACAGGTCACCTGGTAGCAGGTGAGACAGGTCCAGTTCTCAGCGTCAGAGCCGCATTCCTGACACGGCTGGAAGATGTCGATACCTGAGGGGGGGAGGGGCTTCACAGCATCCAGGTGAGGACACCAGGGCAGAGGGTCCACCACAAACAGAGTCTGAAGACAGACAGAGACAGGTCAGTGACATGGAGACAGACAGGTATTAATACATATCATTTAGTTATATAAAAATAATATTCTCTGACGTCCGTCTGTCCTCCAGAAATCAACTCCAGTGACGTCTCAGGCTTCGACCAACCACACGCTCCCTCTGTCTCTGGCTCTGCCCCCGCTCCATCAGCAGCCATGTCTCCGGAGGCAACCGACTCTGATGCTGCCACGGCAACAGCCTGTGAAGGGTTAATAAAGTATGAAAGACATGAAGATGGACCTTATCTATGATCTATATATTAAATCTGTATATCTAAACTCTCTATATATAAATCTATATATCTATAATCTACATAAAATAATTGGATATATTTATTGTCTTTATGAAATTATTAGTAATATATCTAAAATCTAAAAATAAATCTTTACATCTGTAATTCATATATAGCAAATCTATACAAATTAATCTATATATATATGAATCTATATATAATCTATCTACATATTTATATATAATAAATCCGTATATTTGTAAACTATAATGTATGTATACATAAATCTACCATCAAGACATATAACAAATCTATATCTATAAAATATGACTAAATATAAATCTCTCTCTCTCTCTCTATCTATATATGTATATAAATATATTAAATCTATATATCTATAACCTCTATATAATAAATCTATAAATCTATAATCTATATCTAGTCAATTACTCCAGGCCGTTGATGGACTTCCTGCTCACCTGAGGCTGGGTACTTGTTGCTGATTGGCTCTGCTCAGGTGTCACGTCACAAGACTCCGCCTTCACTTCACCTTCACAGGTGACCTTCTCCGAGCTGGGGCGAACCTTTGGTCTGGCCCCGCCCACGGGGGTGGACGTAGCAGGAGTGTTATTGGCTGAGGTTTCAGTGATGTCCAAACTGGCCAACCCCCGAGTGAGCTGCTCCAGACCACCCTCCGTCTGATTGGAGGAAAACAAGCAATAAGAGTCACAATATTCTAATGTCATCCTTTTTTCCTCATTCTGATATTAATCTAAAACATTTACTGATAGTTCCTTCGATCCTGCAGGGGGCAGCGGTGGTTTGTCTGCGCTGCTCTGCTCTGACTTCCTTCCATGTCCTTTAGAACTACGTTTCCCACGATGCTTCAGGGCGGGTAGGGACGTCCGCACAGACTCTGGGACTGAGAGAAAAATCAGGGAAGTAATTAACAATAACATTAAAAAATATAAAACAGATGAAGTCCTGCACTCACTGTATATCCTCAGCGAACTCCAGTAGGGGGCGTGGTGTCGGATGACCTCGTTGATCGCTGTCACGGCACAGTGATGTGGAGGGGGGAGGGGCGACACCAAGGAGGGAGGTGGGTCTCCTAGCAACACGCTAGTGCACATCGCCATGGAGTCAGAGATGGACGTCAAGTTATAACCTCCCTGAGAGACAGAAAGAGAGAGATCACTTCAATTTCCTTCACTTTACATTAATGCACTTCATTTCACAACATCTCACAACCATTCACTTCACTTCTGTTCACTTCACTTCACAACCCTCACTTCACTTCTGTTCACTTCACTTTACAACCCTCACTTCACTTTGCAACCCTCACTTCACTTCTGTTCACTTCACTTCTGTTCACTTCACTTTACAACCCTCACTTCACTTCTGTTCACTTCACAACCTTCACTTCACTTTGCAACCCTCACTTCACTTCTGTTCACTTCACTTTACAACCCTCACTTCTCTTCTATTCACTTCACTTTACAACCCTCACTTCACTTCTATTCACTTCACTTTACAACCTTCACTTCACTTTACAACCCTCGCTTCACTTCTGTTCACTTTACTTTACAACCCTCACTTCACTTCTATTCACTTCACTTTACAACTGTCACTTCACTTCTGTTCACTTCACAACCCTTCACTTCACTTTACAACCGTCACTTCTATTCACTTCAATTTCCTTCACTTTACATGAATGCACTTTATCATCATCTCACAACCTTTCACTTCACTTTACAACCCCTCACAACACTTATTTCACTTCAGTTTCCTTCACTTTACATTAACGCACTTTATTTCACATCATCTCACAACCCTCACTTCACTTCTATTCACTTCAATTTCTTTCACTTTGAAATAATGCACTTCATTTCATTTTGTTCACTTCACAACCTTTCACTTTTCTTCACTTTTATTTACTTCACAACCCATTCACTTCACTTCACAACCCTTCCTTCCCTTCACTTTACATTCCTTCACTTAACTTCAATGCACGTCATTTCACATAATCTCATAACCATTCACTTCAATTCAATTCATAACCTTCACTTCTGTTCGCTTCACTTCATTTTCCTCATCTACCCTTCACCTCAGTTTCCTTCACATTACATTAATGCACTTCATCTCACAAAGCCTTTACTTACCTTGTTTTGTTTTTTTTTTTACTTCATAACCCATTCACTTTACTTGAAGACCCTCACTTCACTTCCCTTCACAAGAATCCCCTAAGAATTCCCTGATCTTCACTCTTCACTGAATTCACACACACACACACACACACACACACACACACACACACACACCTGACAGTTTGTGTGTTTACCTCCAGTATGAGTAGGACCCGCCCCCCCGCCAGTGACATCAGCAGGTGTGTGAGGTGGGCGTATCCCTCTGGGGTCACATGATATCCACCCAGCGGATCCCCCCGAGCTGCATCGAACCCGGCTGACACCAGAACCAGGCCGGGATTAAACTGCAGAGAGAAGCTTGACCAATCAGAACACTCCTTCAGGTCTGACCGCTGTGTGTGTGTGTGTGTGTGTGTGTGTGTGTGTGTGTGTGTGTGTGAGATGTTACCTCAGTTGCGATCGGCATGACAACCCTGTGAAAGGCTGCCAGGTAGTCGGAGTCGCCCATCCGCCCGCCACTCCACGCCACATTCACGTTAAACCCTGCCCCCTTGGACACGCCCACTCTGTCAGGGGCAGCATCTATCGAAGACGGGAAGAAAATCCCGTTGTCATAGCGATGGAGGGAGATGTACAGGACACTGGAGAGGGAGAGACTCACCATCATTATCACTTCATTTCACTGTACATCACTTCCTGTCACATGACACTCCTCCTCACCTGTCATCGTCCTCAAACATGTGCTGCGTCCCGTTGCCATGGTGAACATCCCAGTCCAGGATAAGGACTCGCAGTGGTGCATCGTGGGAGATTTTCTGGGCGTGGCGAGCAGTGAGCGCAGCCGTGTTGAAGAAACAGAAACCACACGGAAAATCTTTCTCTGCGTGATGACCAGGAGGACGCACGATCGCCACGCTGTTACTCACCTGGAGAGACCGACAGGAACACGTCTCATCTCGTACCACAGACTGTAGATAATGTACTGCACCACCTGGGTCAGGTGGGAGCTAACGTTAGCTGGTTAGCGGCACTGCTCATTCGGTGATGACAGCTGGTAACATGTTCCCAGTGGCAGACTGTGTTTCTACGGAAACATTGTGCCCATATTACGGTCTCCCCCAAAATAATGGGTGTAGCTTCCGTTACATCACCCTCTGGTTTGTGGCTCCGGGACGACGTTAGAAGCGTTAAATGAGCTGTGCTGCTAGTTAGCTTCTACCAGACCTGGGTGGTGCACAGAGTAGCAAAACTAAGCTATAAACCGACATGTATGACCGGTCAAGAATATTGTGGCTAACTAACAGTTAACCGTTGACGTCCCTCATATTCAGTGTCCGTATGTACCTGTCCTGTGAGGATCTTCTCCACTGCAGTGAAACAGCTCCCAGCAGCCAGCAGGGCAGACTGGAAGCTCTGGTTGTTGATGTAGATGGAGTTAAACTCGTTTCCCAGTTTGTACAGATCTCTGGGCTTCATCGCTGCTGTGGCCTTCATCTGCTCAATGTGCTGCACACTGCGCGCACACACACACACACACACACACACACACACACACAAACCTCTGTAAACATCACCGCCTTCATGTGTTATCAGAACAATCTGAAAAATGAGTTCCAGAACGCTCCCTAAAGTCGGAACGACTCAGAAAGTCAATAAAAAATTTGGTTCATGTTTGATCGATGTTAGAAACGTCTTCTTCACATGTTGCACACAGCACGTCTTCTTCACAGCGTCCGTGTTGTTTCCACGTTACGACTTAAAGCTCACGAACACAAACATGAACACGGATGAGCATCAGAGAAGCACCTGAATGCACCATACGTACCTGTGACACCTGGACAACTCCTCCTCTGTTGCTAAGCGAGCTGGTATCCGTTGGCAACGGTCGACCAATCCCAGCTGCTGATGTTTGGAGAAGATTTTGAAGATTCTCTGAGGCTGTTCAGGATGATGTCTGCATGTGAGTCACAGAGTTACAGTTTTATCATCACATACACACTCACTGTGTTTACACGTCATACATCATCATATCACATCACAGTTATCTACAGGACGGGCGGAGACGAGGTCACCCACCTGTCCCACATGTTCAGGTGCTCCATCATACTCTCATCATAAACCAGACCTGTTGTTGTGGTAACGGAGGGGGCGTGGTCAGTCTGCTTTGTGCTGTGCTTATTGGTCGTTGCTCTGATGACACGCCCCTCAGCAAACGGGCCGCCTTCTGCACAGGAAACAGGAAGAGGACAGGAAGTTTATGTTGAGCGTCGTCGTTCTTTCCCTGTGTGAATGTGTGAGTTCTGCTTTTCAAAATAAAAGCTGAGGCAGTGTGATGGAAGTCTCACCCAGCGTCTGCAGAGAGGCCCAGTGTGGATACAGAGCTGAGACGGTCTGAGAGATCGACTGCAGGGCGCTGAAGGACGGACAGACAGACAGACAGACAGACAGACAGATGGACAGACGGACAGAGAGGCAGTCAGACAGACAGACAGACAGAAAGACATGTGGTTAGAAATCTAGCAGTGTTACTGATAAACTCAGGTGTGTCTCAGGTGTTTCACATGTTACCTGTCAGACGGAGAGGTGGGCGGGGTCAGAGGAGGACAGGCTCCTCCCAGCAGAGCTCTGATACAGGCTGCAGCACCCTCTGCTGTCGACTGCAGGTTATAACCTCCCTGTGCGAGTACAACAGATAATGCTATATACATATACTCAGGCAGTATTTATCTAGGTGTGTATTAAGAGTACATGTGTATACTCTGGATTTATTTTGACAAGGCGCAGCTCCTAACAGTGTTTCACATTGGTTTTTTGTTGTCTGACTAATGACCTTTCTGGTCGACTAATGTTTAGTCCACTATTAGGGGGCAGCCCCAGTGTATACTCCAGTATACATACAGTATTTAGTACACACACACACACACACACACACACATGTATAATGTGTATATATATGTGTGTGTGTGTGTGTGAGTGTACTAAATGCTGCATGTATCCAGTACAGTCTGCAGTGATGATGTGCGAGTGTTTTTACCTCGAGAGCCAGAATGAGTCGACCTTCAGCCAAACTCATCAACATGTGAGTCAGAACATGGAAACACTGAGGACTCACACACATCTCCCCCTGAAAACACACACACACACAGAGTAAGATATCAGAAAAAAACCTATTTAAATTCTTGTACCTGAACTCAGGTCTGTGGAGTTTTTACCTTCGGATCTCCAACTGCAGCATCAAATCCAGCTGAGACCAGAACCAGCTGAGGCTGAAACTGAACACACACATATATTTATATAATGATGTAAAGCTTATCAGCAATGATGTGTTTCCTGTGTGTGTGTGTGTGTGTGTGTGTGTTTCCTGTGTGTGTCTGTGTGTGTGTGTTTTACCTCGTAGGCTACAGGCAGCAGCAGTTGTTGAAAAGCTGCGATATAATCAGCGTCTGTCATCCCCGTCTGAGGATCAGTAACACATGACACTGATCAGTGATCAGTTCAGGATCACATCATCATAATGTGAGGAGTGAACAGAGAGGAGTGAACAGAGAGGAGTGAACAGAGAGGAGTGAACAGAGAGGAGTCACCTTGTTCCAGGGCAGGTTGATGTTTCTGCCTTCAGCTCGTCCACTGCCGATGAACAGACTGTCAGACTCAGACAGGTGAGGCCAGAAAGACCCCTGCTCATACCTGTGGACACTGAAGTACAGCACACTGACACACACACACACACACAGATAAGACAGTTTTAACTCAGTGAATCACAGGTGCAGGAAAAGACGAACACATGGTTTCTGTGTGTTCACTGTTTATATATCTGTCCTCTGGAGTTTACCTGGGGTCCTCCTGGAACTGGTACTGGATGCCCTGACCGTGATGAACATCCCAGTCCACTATTAACACCCTGAAACACACACACACACACACACACACACACACACAGTCATTACACTGACAGTTTAAGGAGCCAATCAGAGCACTGTTATGAACCTCTGGCCTTCAGAATAAAAGCAGGATGTACACTGATGAAGGTGATGCCACTTTTATACACACTGAATCAGTGTCTGAGAGACCGTCAGCCAATCAGAGCAGAGGATCACTCACACACACACACACACACACACACACACACACACACACCCCTACCTGCTGATTGAGTGTCTGGTCTGAGCGTATCGAGCTGCGATCGCCACGTTGTTGAAAACAGAGTAACCGTTTGCCTCATTTGACTGAGCGTGATGACCTGGAGGTCTGACAGACAGACAGACAGACAGACAGACAGAGAGAAACAGCTTTTTGAGTGATGAACACAATAGAAGTCTCCAAATGATTTGCCTACAAAATGCTTTTAATGTGAAACAAGCGCAGCAGGAAGTGTAACGGTAACACCTGGAGGAAGTGAACGGCTCAATGAGACGACATGTGAACCTGCTGCTCTGACTGAACTGGAACCAGTTTAACACCATTTGTTCCAGAGAAACCTTCTGCTGAGGTAACTGGTAAACATTTGAATTTACAAGCTGATGAGGAGCACCTGAATGCACCATAACAAGCTGTGCTTACCTGATGACAGCAAATCCATTCCTGAGGTCAGAGGTCATCACCTGATCGACCAGCTGGAGGACTGAACCCACCGCTAACACACTCACCTGGAAGGACTCCTACCACACACACACACACACACACACACACACACACACACACACACAAAAACATATTTCATACGTGTTACGCTCTCTAACTGGCTTTGCTATTGGTTCATCCCCCTCTGCACCCCTCTGTGTGCTCTGGTTTCAAAGGGGAGATGAGCAGCAGGTGTGTTGGACTGTGTGACTGCTGCCTCCTGATTGGACGGTGAGTGCAAAGATCTGTCTCAGGGAGCAGAGGCGGAGTCTCGATGGCGTGGACCAATAGCAAAGCAGCAAAGCCTGTTAGTGGCTAGAGTTATGTCCACTATCTATAACTCTGTGTGTGTGTGTGTGTGTGTGTGTGTTCTTACAGGATGGAGGTAAATAGAGTCGTATTTCTCAGACAGAGTCTGAAGTTCACTTTCTGTCATCGTCTGAGTCGACTTCATCAATTCCACATAATCCTTCCTGCAAACACACAGAACATTAGAGGAGAGGACAGTAGAGGACAGTAGAGGACATTAGAGGACAGTTGATGACAGTAGAGGACAGCAGAGAACAGTAAAGGACATTAGAGGACATCAGCGGACAGTAAAGAACATTAGAGGACAGCAGAAGATAGTATAGGACATTAGAGGACAGCAGAGGACAGTAGGGGACATTAGAGGACAGTTGATGACAGTAGAGGACAGCAGAGAACAGTAAAGGACATTAGAGAACATCAGAGGACAGTAAAGGACATTAGAGGACAGCAGAAGATAGTATAGGACATTAGAGGACAGTAAAGAACATTAGAGGACATTAGATGACAACAGAGGACAATAGAGGACAGCAGAGGACAGTAGATGACAGTAGAGGACATTAGATGACAATAGAGGACAGTAGAGTCTCACCTGTGAGCCAGCAGCAGTTCGTCCTCTGAGGCCTCTCGGGGCTGAAAACAGAACAAAGTCTCATCTGTGATTCTGAGGTTACAAAACTGAAGTTTACGTGATGTCAGTGAACATTTACAGAGACTTTAATATTTCATTCTGAGCTGCATTCAGGTACAGTAGGAGAGATGGACATCTGTCTTTATTCAGGAGCGTGACTTGTTGATTTCACCTTCAGTATCGCTCTGAGCTCATCGCTAAAACTCTTAGATGGTGATAAAACTTTATTGTCAGATCAGGTCTGAGATGTTCGCTGGATCACAGCGGCTCCAAACTGTTTGTGACTGTTCATAACCAGGAAGTCGTGGTTCAGACGTCCGCTGGCTGCAGCAGATCAGCCTGAAACATTCGACCCTCAACTCAAGAGGCTTCATCACGTCAGACACAATCTTCAGACGTAAAGCAGAGGGGTTCTGAGTTTGGTGGAGCCATCGTGCTTTAATGCAAAATACATGATGATGTCATTTTGTCTCATGCACTTTCTTGTCATGGACACAACGATGAGCATGAAGCCAGCTGACTAAATAGGAAACATCTAAAATGGCTGCCATCCAGCCTCAGGTTGTCACCATGGTCGACTGATTCACAGTTAACCTTTAATCTGAGAGCGTCTCTTACAGGCCGTTACTCTTTTACTGGGTTCATCCACCGCTGCTCTCCAAGGGTTTATTATTACATATTTGTCCTCTGTGTCCTTCAGCACTTTTACAATGAAAGGAGAAAAATAAAATGAATTTTTACAGGTTTACTGCACCAACATGTGAGAGCAGGCAGAGCTCAGAGGGAACGTTACAAACATCTTAAGGGAGGTGCAATTTTATTTTATCAGCTTTTATCTAATCATTTTATTACACTGCTGCTGTTTTGATTTTGCCTCAGTACCCTAAAACCTACCATGTGATGTGTTGTCTTTTGACGTCTGTTGTGCCATGTGTGCAGCTATGTGCACTATGTGCTCCAAGACAGATTTCCCTCCGGAGCAATAAAGTTGATCTGATCTTATCTTAACGTCCGAGGGTGAGATTAACGAGTCGCGCTCTGAGAATGAAAGACCACACTCTTAAGTCCAGTTCAGACCAAAGATTCACAACCAGACCTACAACACCTACTGCCAACGCTCCATTCTGTAACACTGTAAAAGCTGCTGGTTGACAGGAAGTGACCACCATGAGACGGCGTATCATCTCTAGTCAACAACTCTCTGTACTTCGTTCTGATTTGCAGCTTTTCAGACTTATTTTGTGGCTGAATATAATTTGTAGCTTCTTAAACTCTGAATGAGGATAGTGATAGTGAGATACTGGCTACAGTGATGAAACAAAACCAGCATCAGATGGACTGTATTCATAATCAATACGCCACAATAATATAAATAACTCAGCGCCAATTCATCAGTCAGTGAGAATGTGTGTGTGGGCGGGGCTTAAGCACATACAGCCAGCAGCAGCAGCGACCCACCGTCTGACACCGGCACACTGTGAGGACAGAAACAGAGGGCTCTGTGGGGACGGAGCACCTGCTGCAGCAAGCCAACACGCCGTCTGTGGTCATTTTGACTTGACCAGCTGACTTCACTACAAGCTGATTGGCTGTTGAAACAGGTGACGTGCTTTAAAACCAGCCGCCGGCCATTTGACCAGCTGAGTGTCAGGTGACACCATCAGACGGCTTGAGTCGAGCTCAGACCGGTCAGTTCACACTGCTGACACTTTTCTCTTTATTGGTTACATGTCGTCGTGAATATTTGGTCTGAACTGAGCTTTAAATCAGTACACACACAACAGACAGACAGACAGACAGACAGACAGACAGACCTCCACTCTGATGCAGTGAGACAGCAGCTCCTGTCTCTTCAGCTCCTCCATGATGGACGTCACTCTGTCGGGACATTCTGGATGACTGAACAACAACAACGACACACAGGTGACACCTCTTCATTAATCATGACACAGCTAAATAAACCAGGTGTGTGTCTGTGACGTGTTCACAGAGGGAACACAGGTGAGCAGGTTACCTGTCGTCCCACAGGTTCTTATGATGAGTGAAGATCTCAGAGTAAACCAGACCTGTTCCACTGACCGCTGACCTGCTGCTCAGATCCTACACACACACACACACACATACACACACACACACACACACACATTATTACTAATTACATTACACGTACCTGATGTGTGTACCTGATGTGTGTACCTGACGTGTGTACCTGAGCGCGGTACTCGAGTAAACGTGATCAGCTGTTTGTGTCTGAACTGTTTAAAGACGTCTTATTAAAGAAGAATCATCACTCTGTTTAGTTTCTCATGTCTCACCAGCGTCTGCAGTTTATCGCTCAGCTCCTCGTCCTCCTCTTTGCTCCTCTCCATCCTCCCTCTCCTCTTCGCCTCCTGCAGAGCTCCTCCTCCTTTCCTCTCCTCCTTTCCTTTACTGCTGCTGCTGTTGCTGCTCTGCAAACACAAACAGGAACATTTCATCACTCCTCTCTGCGACACACTTCAGCTGCTCAGATTCAAACAGAGCTCAGACCCGAAATACAGAAACAGAAGAAGAGAGGAGTCATCTCACTGACTTCACTCTGAGATAACCGTCATGTATTAACATGAAACTGTGACGAGAGATCCTGAGGTCAAACTCCAGCTCGGGTTGATGATTGACAGATTTCTTCTTCTTCTCTCTCAATAAATGAAGTTCAGAACAAAAACAAACTCTTATGTTGAACAAGTTTCTTACGGATTTCCACAACTTTTATTTTTGTGGTTCGAGAGTAAAGATATGAATAAAGAACTGGTTTCAAACTGTCCGATCCACCAGAGTCTTACACCTCTGAGTTTATCTGATCCTGTTATTGATGCCATGCATACAATGATGTCACACTCCTGCACCTACACTGCTGGAAACTTAAAAGAAGGAGACATGGCAGAGATGAATAAATGTTGCAAAGTGTGGCTTCATGTCATGAAGACAGACCAGCTGACCGACCTGAGGAGACAGACGAGGAGATCGTCTGACTGACTTCAGTCCACATCCTGAGGAGTCTGATCCGGACGGCATCTCTGATCCACCTGAAGAACAACAAGATGTCTCCATTAGTAACAGATCAGCTGATTATTTCTTTAATTAACTAATGAATCATTGACGAGTCCACACTGACGTCTCATTTAGTCCAAACAAATCCAGCTCACTGAGACACTCACAGCAGAGGACCAGATGGTGTTTAATGAGTCATTTAAAGGATTAATCAATCAGAGTTGCCACACGTTTACCAATCAGTAATGTTATCTGACCCGACTGCAGCAGACGTGAAATATCTGTTGAACTGCCTTTAGGTTGTTTTGATGCATTTTCTCTTCAGCATGTTTTAACCAGAGCTGCTTCTCCTTTGTTGCCAGAGTCAAATGTTTTGGTCTGCCTCTCTCTTGAGTCATATATTATATTTGATGTTGGAAAGCCATATTTAAACCATTGTTAAACACGCAGTATCCAGGCGTTTGCAGATATGCAAACTGCCAGCAATCACTTTACCTGCTCATTAGCATCATTAGTCTGTTGCCAACAAGCTGCACACACCGACGTGTATCAGCTGATACTGGTGACATTTCAACAGTTTAAATACAAGGAAAGTATTTCAATCAAAGTCAGACATGTTTTGGGATTTTCAGGAACATATTTTAACAGCAGTCAAAATTCACATTTCATATTAAAAACTTTTCCAAGGTATTCTTTGAATCCCAAACCATTTCCAGGCCTGGAAAACAGTTTTTTTATTTCATAACTTTTCCAGAAATTTTGATGACGGTGGGAACCCCGATCAACGACCAAAGTTAGCGACAACTGACACAAAATGCTGTTTGATTTTAAAACATGAGGAGGAAGAGTTTGTGTCTCTGATCGTCAAACTGCTGCTTCACCTCAATGACAAAGACTTGATGTGCAGTGTCACAGAACACACTCACGTCTAAAGCTGCAGGATATACAACTTTTTTTTTTTTTTTTTTTTTTAAAAAAGCATGCGATCGTTTTGTCTGTATGAGTCACAATTTGAGTGGAATCTGTAATTTTTGCATTTTGTTTTAATTACAAAAATATAAAAATGTTGATAATGTGTTTTTGTCTGGAGTATGATCTGAATGCAGAGTATCTCTGTAGCACCACAATGCTTCACTAACAAATTGCAGCTCCTGTGATTTGAATATTTCACTTGACCAAACTGTGATTTTTTATAATATTTGGATTAATTGTGTCGTCATCATGACACATCTGCAGTCCTGTCCTGTATACAGGATATTTCGTTGTTCAGTTTCACCCGAATCACATCAAATTTTTTTTCCTTTAAATATTTTTTGTGATATTTAAAGAAAACAAGTGTTTGGAGGACATGTTTTCTTTGATTTTTTTGTTTTGGTTTATTTTTCTTGTCAAAATTTTTGGCTTTTTTTCTTTAAACCAGGGTTCCTACACATTTGGAATTTCAAAATTCCATACTTTTCCATACCCTAATTTCCAGACTTCTCTGCGTTTTTTTCCCCCAGAGAATATGCGACATCTGAGTAAATATATCAGTGTATCATATTTCACATCATATTTAATTATTGTTAATAGGTGATTGTAACCAAGTACCATAATGGCATGCAAATAAAAACTCAGGTAAGTTCAGTGTCTGGGCTGAGGCAAAAAGGTTGGGACTCTGGGTGCAAGCGATGCAGTAACGAGACGTCTGTGTTTTTCCTTTCATGTGGCTCAGAATCGTTTCTCCCCCATGTTGGCGACGTCAAACGATTTCACACAAAGCTTGCATCTAGCTCTGTGTGTGAATTGGGAATCCTTGGCCAACCATTATTTATATACGGTATTGTCAAGCCATCCATCCAAAAACTTGCATCTACCCATTGTGAACCACGTGAAACTCGTCTTCTTGTCGAAGGTGCAGTGTTGGAGTGAAACTTGATACCTGGGGGGCTGGAGGAGGGTCATGGGGCAGCGACTGGACATACCACTTGTCAATCAGGTAAAAGGGGCGGTATGTTTTCTGAGGCGTTTACTCTCACACAAACTGTGCCTGGCCCGGCATAAAACACGATCCGGATTGATTAAATTATTTTTGGAAATACCTAATTTTCTATTTTAGAAAACAGTATTTTAGAACAGTGGTAACAGTCTGGAAACATAAATATTTTTCCATACTTTATTTTTCATTTTCCATACTTTTTAATACCTGGGAATTGATCAAATTTATTTCCATACTCTTCCATACTTTATATACTTGCGTAGGAACCCTGTTAAACATATCTGGCAATTTCGTTCTCTTAAAAATTTCTTGGCAATTTTTGTAGTCATCGTTTAAAAAAATGCCTTTTTTTACAATTTTCATTTTTTCACTCTTAAAAGTTATTTTTTATTTTGTGGGGGCATATTGATTCAAATGGTTGTGTTTTGTATTTATTTTCATTCTTGAAGAAAACATGTCTTTGGATTTGGTCGGCGTGTTTCTTTAAAAAACGTACACCATTTATAACAGCTGGTAACCGTAAAAACATACATTTATCATACATTTTCCTCACTTCAGTCACTCGGGGAGGCTCAAGGAAAAATATCTGTAGCTGAGAAGAGGTTCAAAAGAAAGTCACGCCCCAGCCACACCCTCTCCTCTGACAAATAAAGAACTTTAAGATAAATAAACTCTTTTTGATCAGCTGTGAAACTCATCGTCACAAAGCTGAACACAGACTGTTCCTCTGACTCTGCGGAGACTCGTGTGCAGTAAAATGACACAGACAGAACAGAAACACCAGGTAGAAAAGAAACACTGGCAGCAGCTAACAGTTACTGCACAGTGAGTACTTTAACTACATGTTAATAAATACACACTGTGACGTCAGTCAGGTTTTGATGCAGGACTGTAACTTGTAGCTGAGTGTGTCCACAGTGAGTCTCAGTAACGTTACTGCAGTAAAGGATCCGAGTACTTCTTCACCTGTGCTGTCACAGAGACAGGAAGCTCCGTGTGAAACACAGCGACCTGCTGAAAACAGCTGACTGTCTGAGGACCCGTCAGGCTCTCTGTGACGTCATCATAACAATAACAAATAACAACAATAAAACATGAAACCGTTCAGACTCACCGCAGCTCCTGTTCCTTCCTCTGTTTGTCTCTGAGCGCCAACTGAACGCCAACAACGTCGCGCCCGAGCGACGTCATTGGGGCGTTGGCGCATTGCGATGACGTCACAACAGACAGGCTCTAATGAACTTCTCTTGATACTGAAACTCCCTGAAATATCTTAATTTAAAATCTGCAAAGAGTTCAGTCTGCACACATTAACAGAGCCTGAAGGGACTGAGATCTAATCTGAATTATACTTTTTAATTATATTCTCATTTTTTACAGCTTGTGTCATATATTCTATTTTTTCCCTGTTTTTTTCTTAATTATTGTTTTTTACTACACAGAGACATAATGATTTTAATACTGAGGTCAACCTGCCTTTATGTATTATAATATACACATCTTTTTAACATGTAAATATCATCACTGTCTGTGTTAATATAATAATGCTGATCATGTTTAATCAATGATTATAAATGTATTTATTCCAGCAGCCTGTTCTGTTGCTGTCAGTGTGAATGTGTGAGATAAACACACCTCCTGATTTAAATCAAACACATGGAAATTAAAAAGAGCTGTGAAAGAAATAAAGAACATCCTTTAAAAATGTTCTTATTAAAGAAAAAACATTTATTTATTGAATTATATTTACTAATTTATATCTTTGTCTCATTTACATTTATTTATTTATTTCAGGATTTATCTCACAGCCAATTTTTAATTATGGTTGTATAATTGTATATTACTTGTATTCATAGGCATATTTATTTGTGTATTTATTCATACAATATTTTGGATGCAGTGGTGTGTCTCTTGTATGTTTCATGGCCCATAAAGCTCATTAGAATTTTTTAAAGTAAATTGTGATTTTTTTTAAAAATTATTTACATTTTATGTTAATTTATTTTCCATTTTTTTACTGTTTTATTTTAGATATTTTATTATTTTCTTTTACTATTCACTCATATTGATTTTATCTGCCTTGCTTTTTGTAAATTTGTTTTTCAATAAAGAAAATAAACAAACACATTTTACCAAAATAAAAGCTACATTTGGAATAACAGCAACATTAAAAGTTGGAATAAATCTCACTCTATATATATGAAAATATGATTATAGTTATTATCAATAATATATCATGTGATTATATAATTTCTTCTATTGTCCTAAAATAAATCTTTTATTATCATCATATTAAATAAATGAATACATATTTGTTTCTTATAAATTTGACACCAGTTCTGTCCATTAAAACATGCTGACAAGGTTCAGACTGGAAATTAAATCTTCTTTTTATCTAGATCGTCATGCGGAGCAGAAGATTTAATATTTTATTATCCATTAATGGAGATTTATCTCAAATATAAAAGTTTGAAACTCATCTTAAAGACACTCATCACTAACTAATTCAGAAAAGTTTACATAAAAATAGTTTTCTGTTATTTTGGATTCATTTGTCACATGATGTTAATATTTTATGAATATTTGACGACACGCTGTTTAAGTGATCTCTGTAGCTAAATAAATGTATTATGTTTAAAATGTTTTTTTCATATTGGCAAAATCTAATCGCCACAAAATAAACATTTCTATAAACACATTTAATAAAAAATAAGCAGAAATAATAAAACATCAGTTTTTAATGAAACATCAATTTGAATACAACGACATGAACAAACAAACAAACAGTTTCTACAAACAGTAAAAAACAACATGAACAAATAATAAAAAATATGTAGCAGAACACTGAGATATAAAATGAGACAACAAAACCATCAGGATAAAAAACTAAACATATTAAAGTTTTAGCTGCATGTTGTTGTTTTCTTATTACACATTAAAAACAACACTAGTGTTGAATACTAAATAAATATATTATCATATGAATGAATACAGGAAATATAAAATGTTATTAATATAAAAATGATGACATGTTATTTGCCCAGCTGCTCTTCACAATAAAAGAGTTTGTTTGTTTGAAATTTAAGATTAAAAAAACTTTATGATGAAAAATTAAAAACTGTTCAGCTTCAGATCTGAGTTGTTTTTATTAATGTATTTACTATTCTTTATCATGATGTTCTGTAATGACGCTGTCTGTCACTGGAGTCCATCTGTCTGCAAGAAGCTCTTATTGTGAAAGGATTTTTTCATACATAAGTTTTAAACCCGTATTGCATCATATAAACATCACAGATTCTGTCTGTATTCATTCATGTGATCATATATTTCATAATGCCTTAAACTTTTAGAGAATAGTAAAGGAGAGTGGTTTACGTCTCCATAGCAACCGTGGTAGTGTAGTACTGTTGGAATAAAACCATATAAAAACATCAAGGATCAATACTGTTATTAATGATGTCATCAGATTCACCACAGAGAAACAGTCTCATAATCACAATAAACAATCTCATGACTGTGAGACTTCAGAATGATGTCACCTTTATCTTGTCATTAACAGACCCTTATGATGATAATTATGAATTATTTTCTTGTAATCAGTAAAATAACGCCCGGTGATTTCAGGTTCTGTCACATGATGACCAGATCTCGTCTTGTAAACCTTTTCATGACCTCACTGAGACAAAGATTTCAGAATTTAGAACTAAACAGTCTCAAAGTTCTGATAGTTCTGATGTAATTATGAGACGCGGCGGTCATGTTTGTTTCTGTGGTGAACGTGTTGAGCATGTTGTTGGTCTGAGAACTGAAACATTCAAACATTCTTAAAATGGAAAGACTTTAAATCCCTTCATGGTGACTGTTCCTCCACCTGTCTGTGTGTATGTATCTACCTGTCCACCTGTCTGTCTCTACCTGTCCACCTGTCTGTCTACCTGTCCTTAGCAGAGCGCAGGTCTGTTGTGATCGGGTCGTGTTGGATGGTCTGGTGCAGCATCAGAGCCAGTAAACCAGCTCGATTCGTCATCGCCGTCCTCAAGTTCCTCTCCTGCTCGAAAAGCTCGTCCAGTTTGTACCACTGAGACAGAGACGGAGACGGAGACGGAGACAGAGACAGAGAAAGACACAGACACAGACACAGACACAGAGACAGAGACAGAGACAGAGAAAGACACAGACACAGACACAGACACAGAGACAGAGACAGAGACAGAGAGGATGATGGTCTGCACTCCAGTCATTGCTGGGTGTTAATTAAAGCTATTGTTAATAACCTTTTGTAGTTAAGTGAGGACAGAATGTTTGACAGTGAATAAAGTTTTCTGTAGTTCTGTTAACGACTGGACTGTCTCAAGATCAAATAAAGTTTTGCTGATGCTGAATAAAGTTTTGTATTTCTGTCAATCACTAAAAATCTTGAGGTCAACTAAAGTTTTTTTTAACAAATAAAGTTTTGTTGACATAGAATTAAGTTTTTCGTAGTTCTGTTTACCACTCGGACTCTCTCGAGGTCGACCTCGGCGCGGCGCAGTTTCTCCCAGCAGTAGTGTTTGTTACACTTCCTCTTCGACAGTCGGCAGAACTCTCCTGTCGGCTCAAACACGTCTTTCACCAGAGGACAACCACAAACCTCATCTGCTGGGACCTGACAGACAGACAGGTAGACAGACAGACAGACAGACAGGGACATGGACACTTGATATAAAAAGAGTTTACATCAGAGGTTCAAGACCTTTTTGCGCTGTGGACCATTTTCACATTACTACATTTGTTGTATTCTATATTGTTCTCTCTCTGCGATGTTCTCTGGTTGTATGTTTTGTACCTTTGGATCTCTGGAGTGTTCTGGACACAGGACCTGCAGCCGCTTACAGTACGTCTTACTCTGAGGGTTATACACATCACAGAACAACCGGGTCGCCCTGAAACACAGACAGACACTTCAGAGACAGACAGGTCCTACTGTGACAGCATTAAACTCCTGAAAAGACAGACAGATAAACAGACAGATGGACAGACAGACAGACAGATGATCTTACCCCTCTATTCGTGTTGGGTACATGGAACCAAACGATGTCTGACTCTCGTACTGTTGAAGAGACAGACAGAGAGTTGTGATTGGATTTCACGAATTATTTAGAAACAATCAAAACTAAATATCTGTGATACTTAGTCTGAGTATTATGGGATATCTGTGCTGCATATGACATATTCAACCAAACGAATATTAACAGCACTGATGACAAACACTGGTTTGGACTAAAAACACATCTGAGCGAACAACACAGACATGAGGAGTTCCTCAAGGCTCCGCCCTCGGTCCTCTTCTATTCTGGCTCCCTACAATCACTGAGTAACACCACATTAAACTGTGTCCAGCGACGTAGTGCTGTTTGTTTTAACTTTTTAACTTCCTGTCTGGTACAGTCACTAAACTGTATCTATAAGAATAAACTCTCTGGGACTGTGTCAATGGTCAGTAAAACATCAGGTCCCAAAAACGCGACCAACTCTTTACAGAGCAGACGAGGAAGAAAGTGAAGAGTATCTTAGCCGATAGCTCCCGTCCTCTCTTCAGCTGGTTTGAGCTCTTGAGCTCCAGGAGGCGCTGTAGAGTAAAAATGTATTCAAAAAGTTCTTCATCCCAAACGTCATCTATACAGAACTGCACCCCTGAACCTTAATGTCCACATGAGTTATTATCAACCTCTACCTGACAAACACCTGGACAGGAAGTGGCTGTTTGGTTTTACTCTACTGTCTCTGGTGTCGTCCTGGTGAAGACAGACACACTGACCTTAGCGTAGCATCTCTCCATGTGTCTCAGCGCCACCTTCGGGTTCACGGGATGACTGCAGGAGACACAGAAGATCTGAAGGTCTGTGTCGTCGCCGTCACCTTCAGTCACCTACAGACAGACAGACAGAGGGACAGACAGACGGACAGAGAAAGACGCATCAAAGAAGAGATAAATCAAACTGAAAGCTAACTGTCTGTCTGTCCATCTCACCTCCTCGTGATGTTGGACTTGCTGCTGCTTGGCGTTGGCGATGATGCCTTCGAGTTCGTGGAAGCGTTTCTCCATCAGCGTGAGGCGGAGCCTCGCTGCCTGCTGCTCCTTCCTGATTCGCTCCAGCTGTCTCCGCCCCATCTCCTCAGCAACGCATGGACTCTGCTGCCACTGCTGGATCCTCTG